AATGCAGTTTGTCCTCCAAAAACTGCATCGCTTAGTTTTCCGGACGCCGATCAGAAGTAAGGGAAGCAGGCCGAAGAGGAGGGACAGTAGGGCGATGGTGAACGGCGTCGGGTTGATCGGTGACTACTGCGCAGTTCACCCGATGCTGGCGGAGATGGAGACCGATGCGGCGGTGACGAATAACGGCGGCCCTGGTACAAGGCTCCTGCGGTATAGTCACGTTCGCGTCTGTCATACCCTCGGCGCTCCTCTTGCTGGCGCTTGCGGCAAAAGCGTGAAATGTGACCACGATAGCCGCAATAATAGCACGTAGGCAGAGTCGATCGATAAGGAGGGTAGTAGCTTGCGCTAACTGCACCGGGAGAGAGAGCAGTCAGAGGGACAGATGACGGCTCAGGCGGTGGAGATGAAAAGCTCGTGGGAAAGCTTGTGGGAGGTGCGGCAGCAACCGACGCATACGTTTGTGGCGGGGACGTCAAGCTGACGGTGCCTGGTGGCGCAGCGGCGGTGTGCGGGAACGATGGAAGAATACGAGAGACAGTGGGCTGCAGGTTGGCCATGTGGGTCATGGACGTGAGCTCTTTCCTGATGATATCCCGCAATGATGTTGAAGAAGACTGAATGGGACACACTGAAGGTAGTGTGAATCCTCTCATTCTTCGCGTATGATCGCCCTTATTGTGTCTCGCAGGTTTGGATCAGTCGTAATACGGGCCGCGTCACTGTCTGGTTGTAGGCGCATAGACTCAAGTTCTTCGAGGCGCTGGCAGGTTGTCGCAACGTCAGCAACGGTAGCCGGATTCTGGATTGCAAGGGCATTGAATGCGACGGGTGCAATTCCCTTAAGAAGCTGGCGCACCTTGTCTGATTCTGTCATTGGTGTGTCAACCCGGCAGCAAAGTAAAAGAACATCCTCGATGTAGGATGTATACGACTCCCCGATGTGCTGTTTCCGAGTCGCGAGAGCTTTCTTTGCGAGAGCCGAACGAACAGCCGGTGTGCCAAAGACATGGCGAAGCTGATCTTTGAAGGCTGACCAGTCGGGGATGTCGATGAAGTGGTTGAGGAACTAGTCTTCGCGACACCCGTGAGGTAGAATGACACGTGAGCGAGTTTGCAGGTGTTATCCCACCGGTTAGCAGCGCCGACACGTTCGAAATCGTCCAGCCATTCCTCCACATCTTCCCCGCGCATACCAGCGAAAGGATGGGGCTCACGCTGGAGGCTGTTGATGACGTGAGAAGGCGCGGCATGCGGTGGTGGAGTGGGAACGGCTGCAGCACTGGCCTCATCTTGGTGCGACATATTTCCGGACACCTGGCCCAAGCGGCGACCTGAACGTAGCTCCAGGGGGTAGAGTGGTCGAGAGGATGGCGGGGGATCTAACAGCACGCTCCACCACGTATGAAGTCTTGGTTTGGATTACCTTTATTAGGCCCGAGGAACCGGCAGTTGACAGCTAGGATGAATGAGCCAAGATGATGATGCTACGCGACAACAATGAGGATGCATGAGCCACGCATGATAATGATGATAATGTACCGGTGAAGAGGATGCGTATACTAAATGCCCACAATATATATATATATATATATATATATATATATATATATATATATTAAACAAAATAGCCTTCGTGGCCGCTGCGGACGCGCAAAACCATGTTGCTACAGCGTCGCACAGTTCTGCTGTAGCAAGCGCACCGCAAAACCACATTATCCCAGTGACACAAGAGCAAACCTCCGAGACTGCCAAGTGATTATCAAACTCAAGTGCATATTGTAAACCACACGATGGACATAAACTTAGCAGCTAATCATCGTTACGGCTGGACGTAACTTTCACCTTTTGCAAAAGCTACGTCTAGACGTAACGATATAAGCCGTTAAAGTTATGTCCAGACGTAAAAATAAGACATAGAGTTACGGGGGGGGAAGTGATTTTAAAAGAATAAGAAGAAAAAAGTGAGCTCCGTAACTGTCTCTCAGAGGGAGGACACCTCAACAGTAGCTAGCGCAGCACGCGCAGGACGATGAGGTCGTTGGTTCAAGCCCCATTAATAATTCTTTATTCACGTATTTTTTTTTTGTGCAATTATTTTTTTTTACAATACAGCATTAATGTTCCAAGGGCTTCGCTTATATACATATATATATTTTTTTACTTAAAGAAAATAGCCTTCCAGACGCGCAAAACTGCATTGCTACAGCGCCGCACAGTTCTGTTGCAGCAAAATAGCCAGTGTTAGCGACGAGAGCGCACCGCGAGAGTATTCCAGCATGGGCGCTATTGGGAGCTTTTCCTGTAGAGTCTGTGTATTAACTCTATGAGTCGTAGAGTTTCCCCACAGAAAACTCTATGGCCTGTGACAATTTTTGTTTTGTGTTCTGAGGGGATTTTTTTTCTTCATATTTATACCATTACACTCTTAAATACATACATACATTCATATATATAGATATCGAGTCATATGGACGTCTTTTTGCCGCTCAACAATAACCGTAATCTATATTAATCTATATTTCATGTGTACATGTTGTCCATCCACTGTCTGATGTGACGCGATCGCGCTCTGGTCAATACAGGCCTAAAACAGGCTATCGATGCTCAATATTAGTGCAAAATAAATAAGAAGTTCTGAAATAATGCAAACTACGTGATCAACCAAGAATTATTCACGATAATGTATCTAAAATCATGATAAATTTTCCAAAATTGCTGCTGTTACCTGTAGCCTAATATCGTGGCTATGGGCTGCTACCAGTGGCAAAGCGCTACAAGTAGGCTGCACGGGCCAACGTTTAAAGATACTTCCACAGAACACCTTTATAGATACTACATTGGCACGGGCTGTGCCTTTAAAACTAGGCGGATGAGGTTTTCGGACGACAAGATATTTACATGTCGCGACGCAGGACAGCTGTAACTTCTGTTACCGTATGGGCGTAACCGTACTTGCATCCAGTTTGAGAGCGACTGCTTACCACTAACCGTGGTGTGGGCAGGGTTCCATCATGATTGCTCCGCTCGTTCACCACTTCGAGGAAGGTAACGAAAAGGCAGCACCCAATACGGTAGAGTGGTACCGACAACGTCTTCCAAAAGTTCGTCAGCTGGTCTGTCTCAACAGAGCTGCTGATATGCGAAAAAGTCCGGCACATTTCTAGTAAATCGGTGAATCTGAGCTTATGACTGCTTAATTCGGCGAGCGGCAGTGCCGAATGTTACCGTAGCAGATGCTAACGTCACCATAGGAGCGCTACCGTTGGCTATAGTTACGAATGGACGTAACAATAGCGCTGGCTATAGTTACGTCTGGACGTAACGATTGCGGTGCTTACAGTTACGTCTGGACGTAACCCTAGCCACACCGTTTATGCAATTCCAGGCGTCCCATGCAAATAGTTTATTTAGCGGTTTCTTTTTTTTTTTCTTTTTTTTTTTTCAACTTGACATGCAGGCTATCTTGGTCAGATGTGAAATCACCGAGATCTCTTTGAACCCCACCGCGGTGGTCTAGTGGCTAAAGTACTCGGCTGCTGACCCACAGGTCGCGGGATCGAATCCCGGCTATGGCGGCTGCATTTTCGATGGATGCGAAAATGCTGTAGGCCTGAGTGCTCAGATTTGGGTGCGCTTTAAAGAACCTGAAGTGGTCGAAATTTCCGGAGTCCTGTGCCACGGCGTTTCTCATGATCATACGGGGATTTTGGGACATCAAACCCCACATATGCATCGAGATCGCTCTGATTTTATACCAGTTACTAACTGTTACTTTCGCAACAGTTATATGTGGTTACTTACATATTGACTGCGATTACTTCTACCATGTGGTACTAGGCTTTATGGATCTCATTCCACCCACAAGTACTAGTATTTTAAGTATATAGCTTATTCAATGGCCCTTTTTTGCAATATACAATGTTCATTTTCTGTCTTTTAACGTCTTTCGCAAGAAGTATTGATACTCGTTCGAATCAACTGTTAATATTTACGAGACACCTTGGCAATGCCTTGAAGTACAGGAGTTGTACAACATATTTTGCACTCTGCTCCTTAAACACCAACGCCTGCTCCAAATTAGCGCTTTTTTCTGCTACAATGGCTGCTCCTAAGCAATACTTTTTTCTGCACTGAAAAGTAGTCAGTTCCATCGCTGTTCTTATGTGCATGCTGTCCTGCCACAAAACTGCAGTTAATTTTTGAGGAGGTGGCTTTCACTGCTACTCTATTAGAGAAAGTAAAAATGAGGCTGCGATGCAAACAATTTCTGTGCATATTCATAGTGTTATTTAATGTACAACCTTTATTAAAGCAATCAGACATTGAAGCCAAGGAAGGTGTAGGGGATGTTAATTTCACTGTTTAATGGTGTTGTAGTTATGATATAAATGGGAAGAACGTTCAGTGGACGAAACTACAACTTGCCACCGGCACAGACCAAACCTGCAACCTTCAGATAACATGCCTGATGCTCTACCGATTGAGCTACCGTGGTAGCTATCCTATTGTCCACATTATCGAGTATTTATGTGCAAGCAAACCTGGGAGTGTTAGTTAGCACTACTCGTAGCAATGACAGTGAGTAACCACTTTTTTTTTGCCACCTGTCATTGCACGTAAAATTTGGTTTCCTAAGAAGAGCTATCTTTATATATTCAAGTAACAAAATTGTCATTTTCAGGTGCTAGATTTTTTTTAGTAGAGATAGCAATTGTTAAAGAATACAATCAAGATTACACACGCTTCTTGATATTGAAGTCATAGAAATAAACAGCACATTGGGCATTTGTTTACAGTCGGGGCTTACTCTCTTACGGTATAAATGCTTGCTTTCCTTCTAGTGCAAACGTAATAGCACTGCCCTTGAGACTTATCTGTCTCATCTGGCATGCTTGTTCATACCTTAATAATGAGATTGCAATTATCTTGGAGGATAAACTTTGCATATGAGGAGTACTGCAGTGATCTTGCATGCTTTCTTCTCTTTTGATCATCAGGACCGGCAACACCACCTGTCCCTTCACCTTTAAAAGCAGCCCATTCTGATGAGCCGGCAGAGGCCAGTAGTAAAGGTGACCAAAAAGAGACGGTAGGGGTGAACGATGCTCCCACAGCAAGCCCTGCCTGTTCCCCAGAAAGCCTCAAGGAGGAGACATTGAGCAATCTCGACAAAGCCGTCGCACAGTGTGCACCGAACATGGAGGTCAGTGTGGATTGGCTTCTCTGCCTTGCAGCTAATGCATAATAACACATATTTGTCCCATAACTATGACACAATCATGAGAGACACTGTGGAGAGCTCCGAAAATTTAGACCACCTGGGGGGTTTTTAAATGTGCGCTTAAATATAAGCACATGGGTTTCGAGCATTTTAACTTTCATCGAAATGCAGCCGCCACAATCGGGACTCAATCCCACGGCCATTGGGTGATTAGTCGAGCGCCGTAACCACTAGACCGCCACGGTAGGTGAGTCTTGTGGCTGGGATAGTGATGAAAAATAAAAATTTCCAAAAAATATTTTAACACAATTCAACTGTACCTATGCCTTATGCTGTATGGTATGAGGATCACGGCATTCTGGCCTTTTCTTTTTTTCTTACAGTTTGAAGTTTTATACACATTGAGAGCAGAATGTGATATGTTATATAATCAAAAGTGCTACTTTAAATAAAATAACCTATTAGCATGCAATTACATATAACCCAAGTGACTATCATTAGAAGTGATTGCATAGTGAACACTATTATGAGCATTAAAAAGCTTTTTTTTAAATCACACATTTTCGTCTATTCTTTCTGTCCTCTCTGTTACGTCTTTTTACAGCGAAAGCTGTTATGAGATCACAACACAGGTCATGCACGGCGCCATAGTTGGCCGCCGCCGCTGGTGTCTGTAACCACTATCGCACGAAAAAAGAAAAAAAAACTCTGTAAATAAAAAAGACACCAAGAACACAGTGCGGTTCGAACCCGAGTCCACTGCGTGCCAGCCCAGTATTCTACCACTGAGCCACACCGGTGCTTGGGACTTGTTTGCAAACTTGCCTTATGCAGGCTTGATGTCGGAAAAGGAATCACATTGATGTGAGTAATAAGGAATTTTATAACTGCAAAGGAACAACTAGGCGTCACACAATGCGATTAGCCTAACGAGTCGGTCGTCCAATGCTCCAACCCATTACAAAAGCTTGTTCTTGATCACCTGTTAACTGTGGTGCATACCCACTTCAGGCATAATTCCTCATCGTCGTCAGCCACGGCATGAAGAATTGGCACAAAATGTCTTTCAAGTGTTTAGCGGATACCACGCTTCTCTGAAAGGAATAACGAGGGAGAGCATGGCGAATGCTGGCCTACTACCCAGAAGTTATGATCATTAATGGCTTAATGAGTACCCAAAGAGAGTTTAGAAAAGGCTCTGAAAGGCCACTTTTCCAGCTTTTGCTGTGACTGTGCTGTACGTTCCGCGCAGGCCTGAAGTTTTTTGCACATTGTCTAACTTTGAAACATATTACACTTTGAGTGTAATATGCCTGCTAGCATATTACACTCAAACCTCGATATAACAAACCCAGATTCAACAAAATATCGGTTATAACGAAGTAAATTAGGACTAGTCATGCAATAAATATAGTGTTAGGAATACACCTTTATAATAAATTTTTGGATATAGCAAAGTTATTTCTATGTAAGATACAACTTTGTTATAATGAAATTTGAGTGTATCAAAATGCATCACCTTTGCAGTGCCCCGCATAGCAAACAATATTGGAGATCCTATTAGTTACATGTACAGTTGACTATAGTCAATGCACAATTAAGTCTTATTGTATAACATAGATAATTTTTCACCAGATCCAATGTAGCACTATTAGCCCCATAAAATATTTCGCTCAATACACCAGACAGTTTTATCACATGCATTTGGCAGCATGTGACAGAGGCAAAATCTAGTAGTGCAATGTTTGGCATGAGGTAATGTAGTTTGTAGCATTCAAAGTGTGGCTAGACTGCAAATAGGGCTTTTGTATTTCAGAAGAGAAAGCAAGATGACGTAAGGAAACGACTAGATGTACTCCGGAGTGTTTGGGAGCAGGGAAAGCTCAGCCTACCAGTGCAGCAGAGAATGCACGAGTTAGCACTGGGTGAGTATGCAGCTGCCTATTCATTCGTTAATCCATTCGTTCAAAACAGTCTACTATGTGTTGGCTGTAATTTTCAACTTTTTTTGCAAAAGAAAGGGGATTTCAAGGGCTCGTTTTTCTTTGCGAGAAGTAATACCATAAAGAGAAGACAAGAAAATCAAGGAAAGTATAGGTGGCATTATTTGTAGAATGTAAGTGTGATGCAATTATATAAGAAGCAAAAATGGACAAAAAAAAGTCACTTGTCTTCGGCAGGGTCCCTGCTATGACCTTGTTCTACAGGCAAAATGTGAAAATGCTTCGCCACCAAGCGAAGTGGAAACAAGAGCTGGTCTCAATGGTGGCTTCTACATAAAAGTGCATTCTATTTTGCACTGCATTGGAATGGCATACAACCGAGTTGCCACACTAATGCGTTTTGGTACATCCAGCACAGTTTCCCCAATATTGTCATCTCATTCAGTTTTTGCTTTTGTCCACAATAGTTCTTGTTATGTAATCCAGTTGATTTTGCTCATTGTCATTGATGATCTGAAAAAATTTTCTTTTCGTGAACTGAATGGTATCGAGATCAATAAATCCAAAAATTGAAAACTTCGAACAGAAGAGCTTAGTTGAAAACTTTGTATTTTGTTTTCTTTTCCGCAGAGCTTTCGAATGGAAATCACGAGAAGGCAAATGCGTTTCACATTTCCCTTATGGTGGACTACGTAAGCGAGGTGAGCATTTTTAGCTGCTGCTTCAATACTGATAGTTAGGGCTAGTTGGCAATGCATTTTTGTTAAAGTTTGCAGCACTCAAACAGGATGTTATCTTGCATTCCTTTTGCCACAACCCATTAATTTGTGTGCTGAAAATTTTAACAAGGAGCTTTCTGATGTTTCCACTCACATTTCGCCCTTACATATCTGATTGCCAACGTTTCTTCGCAGGTCAGCCAGTGGATGCTTGGCATCAAGCACCTAATTTTAGCAGCCCAGGCAGCACAAGAAAAGCCTGCTATTGATAAGCAGGAGTCCACTTGACCATTGCCGGAAAAGTGTTAGGCACATTCAAAAACTGCCGACACAGGCTACTCTTGTTTTTTAAATTGATTTCATTAGTAGGACATTGAGAAAGAAAAAAGCAGCTAACTTTCTCCTGCGAAGGCAATCATTGGGGTAAAGTTTTATGGGCACCTCTGCAAATATAAATGAAACTTCAGACCTTAATTTGTGCCTCACGGCATTTATTGTGGTAGAGATGTCACAAAATTTATAAATATAAAAGCTTTTTTCGGTATACCTGTGCCCTTCAGTGATGCAGTTACTTTAATCAATAACTCGGATGCTGCTACATGTCTATGTATCTGGCCATGCACCTCCAGTACAGGCATTGAGTGGAGATGGTGCTGTTTCTTCACGTGACCCTCACTACAAAGCAACAGGCAAGAGGGCAGATTGTATTTTGAAGCTCATATAAAGCATTATGCCAGAGGGACATTATCGTTATTATTATTATAATTATTATTATATCACATCAAGGACAAGAAAAAAAAAAGCAAACTAGTTCGCAACTGCTGCCAAAAGTACAACAGTAGCTGGTTGCTATGAAAGGAAAGAGGCACATCTCAAGAGCGACTCAAGAATTGGGCTTAGATTAAAACTGAATAACAAATCATGGAAGTACAAAGGGTGACATAGAAAAAAAAAAGAGGGGGGAGGGGGCTAGAATGAGAATAAAAATGCTAGAACTAAACACAGTAGACAACAAGAAAAGCATGTGACAGGCATAGGTAGTGTAACGAAGCTCGCAAAACGTGGCCAACAGTCAATACCAAAAGATAAACTCAACCAAGCTCTGACACAGAGTTTTAGCATGTCTTGCGTTACAGGGACGGTAGAAGCAAATATTAATCGACATTGATTGCTGAAATAGCGGTCCCCAAACCTCGTAGTGCTACTTTTGTGCCAAGGAAGTGCTTATTTTGGAATAAAATCACATTTTAGTGGTCTGCATTGCGTTAACACCCTTCGAATTACCCGCCTCAAGTGGAACCTTTCGCGTCACTGTTGCCATGCACAACAGTACCTGGCTTTACAGTGCGGCCGCCGACACTAGTAGCAGCAGAACGAAAGTAGTAGGAGCCACAGCAGCAACGACTATTGAACAATTTCCTGCCATGGCCTTCGAGATGGCCGGTGTGCTTGGTTCAACTGAGCTACGCTAGATGGCATGACTCGTCCAGTTCAACCAGGTGAAAACTGAACTTTTGAACCACTCGCGCCATTCCCCATAGTAACGTTTGGCAGTGTTTTTGTGTTTTTTTTGTGAATTAAACAGAAACGAACAGGCAGCATTTTATTACATCTCTTGATGCACAAAAGGATCTTTATTTAGTGGAGCTAGTTCGATTAATAGTGATTAATTGTAGGCAGTAAGTATGATGTTGTTGGGAATATTTGCAAATGTCCTGCTTGTGGAGCATGTGTTGTCATGCATTTATTTAAATATCTCATTAAGTAGGGCACTGCTGTTGGTAATATTGTCGTTTTAGACATTGTCATACATTGAGCTTTCACTCGGAATTAAATTGTTGACTTTAGTGTCCCTTTAGGAAGCACTTAAAAAGAATGACAGAACATTACACCATAACAGAAGTAACATAAAAGGACAATGATAATGGCGACGGACCACACAAAGCAAAGCACAAGGCAAGCTGGATGAAAAAGTTGAGAAAAACTTTCATGACAAGATTGAATAAGAAGCGTTGGATAAGCACAATAAACAGTAATCTTACCTTCACAAACTTGAAAGTATAAGAACAGCCATTGGACACTTACTCAGGATTTTTTTTGTTTCAAAAAGCTTTTTATTGCCCTTGTGCTAGAGGCAAAGCACATGCATGAATTCAATGAATATTTTACAGAAGATCTTTCAGTTTCAAGAAACTGCGATGGCTCACTCAGTCTTGCATCCTGATCCAACCCGCCGTGAAAAATGCTGCTAAAAACAATTCCATATGGGAGTCATGCGAGGTTAAAAAAAAATTTAATTCGTAATGATAAAGACTCCTTTAAAATGGTCATCTATTCACTACAAAAAAAAAAAACTTAGCAGTGGAACTTTCATGCTGTACTGCACAAAGGTCGCAATTTTTCACAGCTTATAAAAATGTTTTGTACAGCGCACATTCTAGGAACCAGAAAGGTACAGCTAAAACACAAAAATAAGAAGAAAATTCCACTGTGCTACTTAACCAGCATTTTTGTCGCTTCCTGTCTCGTATGCAGTTTCGCAAAAAAAAATAATGTTAGGGGATCAAAAGTATGCTACAGTACCGCATGACTCCAAAATGGCATTATGGCCAATGCAACTCCATAACTGCCAGTTGCCAAACAAAGACTACAGAACTCCTTTCCACCACTTAGTGTGTTAACTGACATTGTTGCTTATAAAGCCACATTCATGACATGTCGGAGTTTATGATACGATAGAATCATTCCTTCCGGCTGTTTCACGACTAACGACCTTATCAGATGACTGTGCTCATAAGATAATTCACTGCTTGCGTGTGGATGCCTGTTAATGTTTACCTGCGTGTTGTTTACCTGCATGTGTATTACCCACGTGTGGGTGTTTCTACATATCCGTTTCCAACATGCATATGTACACAGAATATGGTAAATTTTCACGGCAATAAATATGCTAACAATGTACTACTATAACTGAGGAAAGAAAGAAAAAGAAAAAAAAAGGCACAGAGGCTACGTAATAGAATTCAGTGAGCCTGCTCAATGGAAGACTGGCTGTGAGATATATCAAAGCGCTGTTACATGAATGGGCCAAGCATCGCAAATCACTGAAAGCATTATTGTGTAGCAACACTGAGCTCTGTTACCTTTCGTTAACCGAGCAATGAACACCTATGTCCGCAATAAAATCCGATCATGGGAAATGTCAGCAGCTCTGCCGTGCGAATGGGGAAGTGTATAAGTTTCCTAAAGAAATGAGTTCACACACTGAATTTATAAGAAAAGTTGCTGCCACAGTTCTGCAGTGAATCAAGGAGCACTTATACAGAACTTCATAGTCAAGCAGTTTTGATGCCTTCAATAAGTCTTTTTTTTTTCTTTTTAATCTTCCCTTTCCTGCATTAAATGAAAGTTCAAAGCTGAAAAAAAATATGCAGCACAACACAGTGGCAGGGTACAGTTGCAGCCACATGCCAACTATTAAAACTAGGCTTGTGCAAACAGTGGACTTTTAGGTTCGAAGCGAATAACAATTATGGTGTCAAATCGAATAGCATACATCACATAATAAGAAAAATGGGCATATTTGTCATAATCTAACTCACCTGCACAATGATTTTTAGAAATTTATACAAAGGCTGTGCATTTTTGTTGTTTTTTTTTCAAAGAAAGCGGAAACAACTTTTATTAGTAGCAGGATTTGACTTTCAAAAGAATGTAAGTGATAACCTGTAAAATATGTTACATTTTGAAATCTGCTATACTCGGAGCATATAAGCCGGTATAACAAGCTTTCACACTAAACAAAATGATGACTCATATGTTCACTTAACTTTCAAGTGGGGTTTCATGACAATGATGATTTTTTCTGGACAGATGTTTTGACGGCATAGCACCCCTCCACTGTGGTGAAACGACCTTTACAGGGAGGTTCTATTCAGACTATTAACACTACTCTTTCATTTTGAACACTTTGAAATTTTCAATAATTTAAATTTGAATTGAAGTGAGTTTGTATGCCATAATAATCATTCAAATATTTGAACAATTTTAATATTTGCACAAGCCTAATTAAAATTCTTTTGAGATGCACATGCTGTCTACCTATACTATCACTACAGATCTGCTGCTTAACCTCTTATGGAATCGACCAGCTTTATCCAATTTTCCTCAGAGCAACACATGTACACTGTCAAGTGTGTTATACTATTAACAAAGTGAATAGATTTCCTGAAGCACTCGTATATTCATTCGGCCCGGCTATCAGTCAGTAAGTTTCCAGACAAATATTTCAAACCAATTTTGTCAAAAAGAGCCCCATCTTGATGTCGTTCAAGAAAAAACAAAACATGCTAGCACCTTGGCAGCCCATTGCTCTTTGTGTGGCTGCGTCCCGCTCTTTCATGAATGCAAGATACTCTCGAGTCATAACAAGACAGAGTGCGAAATTAAGGAGGCTCTTATATCAAGACGAAAGGGAATATTTGCATCAGTGAGCCTTCACTCGCCCTCCTGGAAAAAGAGACAATGTTTTTGAGTAGTTAACTTGTACATTTCGACTCGTGGCAGATCCTTCTTTGCCTTTCACTTTTATGTGCACATGATGGTTATTCTTGTTTTCAGCTAGATATTTCCAGGTGTAATAAATTTACACACAGTTGTTCGTCAGTGCTTGTGTCGTATGTCAATCTTTCTCCGTCCAATTTTTTTTTGGGGCTGTTCCCCTCAGTATCATGTACCAACTAGCCCTTCAAGAAACCCTTCTACACAATCTTCCTATTGACATAAACAAAAGAAATCTGTACCAATGTACTGCTTCATTGCTCATGTAATGCGGTGAATCATTTCCTGGTATTCCTAGTGTATATTTTTTGTGCAATAAATGTAAGACCTTCTGAGTGCACCGTTTCAAGATTTTCGAGATTGACAAAAATTTTGCCCATTGAAGAGGGCCTCGAAAATGTTCCTATAGGGCCTTGAAAGTCCTTGAATATCCTTGAATTTTTCTCCTTTGAAACCTGTACGAACCCTGGGCTGACCAATCGCATCAACAAGGCACTCGGTCATTGGCGAGGCACGACTAAAAATGAAACTTAATTAGAATCGCTGCACTATGGCAGCTTGGTACACTCGGTGAACTGTTTCATGCACTTTTGCCACAATTGCCATGTGAATTCTTCCGAGTCATAGAGTCTGCATCAGAATTTTGTATCCCAGGAAGAAAAGTATGTGCGATGTGAGCTGCACTGAAAATGTGAAGTTCTGCTCTGTTAATGCATGGTCCTTCTAATTTAATGGACAACTGTGCGGCTGGCAAAAGCTACTGCGTGCTGAAACCTGTAATCAGAGGCTATGCTCTTGGGCAAAGCTGTAGTACAGCCCTTTTTTTTTTTTTTTTCATAGATCTCTTGTCGCTATTACGGTGAAACAATACAGATACAAAATCTGGCTTCTTCAACATGGCAAAAAGCTTTGATACAATTGTAGTACACTTTCCCAGTTTCATATTGTTCAAATACACTGCACGAGAAGGTTACAGTTCACAAATACGGCACTTTCTTGTGTGAAACACCCGCAAGTTAGCATAAACTTCTAAGGCTTTTGCTATCATTGTTTAAATGGAAACAAAAATAAACTGAATAGTTTAATTTGCTTTTTTCTGAATTCCACTGCATAGGCCAACGTTACACACTACCGTACTTTGAACAGGAAGCATGAATAGCATGTGTCTTTCACATAAATACAAAGATGATCCTGCGAGCCATTGGAAAATCATTACAATACCTCTTTCATCTGAAGAAGTTTTCAGAATTGGAACTTGAAGTGATAGAACGAGCAGCCTTAAAGGCAAGAAATGAAGGTTGCTGACATTGCTAGTAAAGACAGAGCTGCAAAGAGCCTTTGTTGGCTGTGACTGGCCACATGACATTTAAAATTTTTCTACATCTTATCACATTTTAACTTTTTTCTACATCATATAGTAATGAACTGAACTGCAAAAATAAGCAGTAAATGCACCTTAGACTTCCACAGTACAAATAAAATTTGCAAAGATGTCTGATGAGGGTCTTTTCGAGGCTTTTGTCTGAAGCACTCAACACCAGCAGCCAACACTGTGCAAGATTTCTTGCCCAAACTGACAGGTGCATAGCAGCAACTCCCAATCACAACGACTTGCCTATGTGTCGTCTCAAGAGACAGTTTCGAGTAAATGCAACAAAGTGAAATATAACTATGAAACACAAATGCAGAACACTTTTTACAGTGGCCTGCTTACTTTGCTTATTGAGAGAGCTGCAGAAGAGGTTTTTGTACTTGGCCTGAAGGATAATTATAACCTTTTCAAAAAAATCAACAACTGCAACAGCAGTTAACCACTTCTATCCACGTTACAATACTACTTACGTCACACGTCCAATATCAAAGGTCACCGAACGCTGGTTTTCAATCTATCTAGATCTATTTGTACGAGCTAGATGAACCAGAGCACCGCAATTGGTATGCCTCAATAATCGAGAATAGAAACAGCAATGTGCTGATGAAACAGACAACATGCAAGAGCCCGAAGGCATGCTTTGCCACACTGTTTGAACATTGCCAGTAGTCTCACATTGAAACAACTGGGTGAGTTGAGGCAAGTGCTTGTAGAGCCACTTTCACAGCTGCCTTTGCCACTTTAGCATCAGCACTTGTGTTATGTGCACAGACCATTTCAGTGTTTTCTACAGTTAGTCAAATTTCAGTGTTAACACGAACATAACAAGTTTATATATATATGGTGTAAGCAACACAACAGAGTAAATACAGTAAATACTAACTATTGCCAAAATCAGCACTCAATGTGTATATGCTCATAACAAATACTAGATATGACAGGCATTTGTGTTTTGGTACAGCTTTGTTGAAGCAATGTTCATCTGTCTTATTCCTGCCATTAGTTGTCACACAAAAATTAACTAAAGAAGGTGTAGCTCGCTCGTACCTTGCTTGGCGAGCGCCCGAAAGAGCTGCACTCGCATGAGTGTCATTATGTGCCCTCATTCGGTCACACAGCGAACTCTTTCCAGTTATCTCACACCTTTCATTGAACCGGCTGCGATGTCTGATAAACCCAGATGTCTTGGCAAGCTCAACAGCAAACATCAGTGTTCAGTGACCATTGAGAGTACATGTGAGAGCGACGGTTCCAACACACACAACAGCTCGTGCCTTGCACGGCCAAGCTTTTGCACTCAAACAGTGCACACTTTACGCACTTGCAACGGGAAAAATCAAAAGGGCAGAAAAACAGAGTAGCAATACCTTCCGGGCTTCCTGTGACACACATTAAAGTGTCTGCGCCACATCGTGGTATTGCGTTCCACAGTACACACAGCACAGGTCCTATTTACATCCAGAGAAAAGTAAACACTACAAAAGTGCAATAAATTACTGGCTTCCAACAGTTCTATGGTACACAGCTATGTACAGATGAGTGAGTAGAAAGAACGACGCCCCCGAGTCGCTACGTGGCTTTGCCCTCCGGATTGGATGAGGCAATCTGTGCAGCGAGGTCAGCAAACTTTGCGACGTAGTCCACGCTGTTCTCGTTCATGAGGCACTGCAGCTGGGTGTCAACCTAGATAACTAAATGGAAAGCCATGCCAGCTAAGTTTTACAGGCACGCCGCTTTCAATTATGAAGCTTTAAAAGCTCCTAAGCTCAACCTTAAAGGGCCTTAACAAGTTTAGTAATGGTGTTGTAGTTGTGTGTGACTCTACAACGAACAGATGGCCACGATAATTTTTCAAGATGGTGTCGCAATAGCGAGTTGCACATCCTTGATGTTCAGAAGGAAGCCCATGCTCATTTTGCTCTTTTCTTGACTACACTATGCTCACAGGCTCGTTTTTCCTCCTGGCCAAGTATTCCTCCTGGCTGTACAAGAGGATAAGCAGGAAGCATGTGTAACTGCAGGCAGACAGGTTCTTTCTGCTGCTGACATAACCAGATTCTACTGGTGGAATTATGGCCAACACTAGGGATACCGAAAGAGACAGATTGTTTTTCATTTTGTTTGTTTGTTGTTCTTCCTTTTTCTTTTCCCTATGTGTGCTACGCCAGCAACGTGTGGCACTTCCACGTCTGGCAGTGTTGATTGTCATAGCATTTTGAACTCAATGCCTGCGTTTACTTGAAACGTTAAAAAAAATCAAAAGTCGTTTGGGGCCCTTTCAGGAACATAATCTTACGTTGACCAAATTGAATATATGGATTTACTCGCGTAATCCTCGCACTCGCATAATTCTCGCACCCCCCACATCACCCAACAAAAATACGATTTCTTTTTTTTTTCTCGAGTAATTATCGCACCCCGAAAACTGCCGCAATAATGTCGTCTGCTCTGTTCCAGCCACTGACGATGATAGCGCGCGTCATCTGGCGCCATCTCTTAAGCATCAAACGTACTATTATTGCTCACAGATTCAATCTAATCCAGGCCAAGCCAAAGTGGCAAGTGCGCATTGCAGCGTGTTTTGTATGTAGTGTCGGTAATCTTGTCACGTTATGGGGCGATACTGAAGCTACATGGCTGCTTTTAAGTTGAAAGTGATAGATCATACACTAAACAATGGCAACAGAGCCGCCGGTAGGTCCTTTGGAGTCTACGAGTTTTATGTTCGCTACTCGTGACGGCAGCTGAAAGCCACCAAGACGTGTTGGGCCTGCCGTGTGCCTAAAACTGGGATTGATGGTAAACTTTATTTCTTCAGAAGGAAACTGCAGACTATTCTGTTAAATATCCATCAGCCCTACGCTTACTGACATCCTACGCTTACTGACAATACTGACATCCTACGCTTTTGAGGGCTCCTGTTGAGTGACAAACGCTACCGCAACGCCCATAAGCTTTGCGTATGGTATTCTAATCTTCGACTATTTGCTTGCACTTTTTCTGTCTCAAATAAATCTTGCCTTGAGTTGAACCTGTGCTTTTGTTGTTGAGATAAGTTTTAATTAGTACTTCTCAAAGCTTGCTGTTAGTCGCTGGTGTGAGAATCCCAATTTGCGGCCCCTTCGTTTTCTTTTTCGCTCTGTACGTTTTCGTGGAAAGTTTTCCCCGCGTAATTCTCGCACCCTTTGCGAGAATTACGCAACTGTGCATCGGTTTCCTGCCAAAAAAAAGTACGAGGATTATGCGAGTAAATACGGTACACTACTACGCGAACGACATATTCCTGAAGTGATGTTGGTGAAGCCACAGGACTGGAGAGACAATTACAATGAGCATATTTGACAACAGTGAGCTGTGCAACGAGCTGCACAATCATGACTTCCAATCTCCATTTATCGTGTCACGGTGAAAGGAAATCTGTCTCCAAGTTCAGCTACCATATAATCATTTCCCAACAACCCACACAACGTTCTTCCTACTGGCTATGGTGTCTCTTCAGATCCCAGTGGTGGTGGTGTCTCTTCCAATTATTTCCCACTAACTTTTGCCACTGGCTTAGCCAGGGGAAGGGGGGAGACATTGGGGAGTTCAAGGCCCTTCTCAAATTTTACAATTTTGTATGTGTATACTTTATTTACTTGCACAAAAACACTCGCATAATGAACCCACCCCCAGCTTGCTTCTTGAAAAAAGGAAAAAAAAAAAACTTTTAAAATTTCGTTTTGGTATGATAGCCGGTGCTGTTAATGATCGAAACAATGTTAAATCAAGCCACTACAATGACAAAATAACAACAAAGTGAAAGCCAAAAATAGTTATGCAATCTTGCTAAACAGTTGCGAGCAGCGCGAGTGCGGACGATGTCAATTAAAATTTGTAAGTCGCACCTTGTACGGCAAAGCGCCGTCTGTCAAATGCAGGAGAAACCTCTTGGCTGATAGCGCGACGCAAACACAGCGGCACAAAAACAGAGTGCGTGGTGTCCAAAATGGCGCTCGCGCTTCGTAATGGAACACACTGCATGCTCGCCATCTTGGACCTATGCAAACGCAACCACACCCACCACGCCGATGGCACATTGTGCACCCGCAACGTCTAATACACTCAAACCTCATTATAACAAACTTGCATCTTACATGAAAATAAGTTCGTTATATCTGACAATTCGTTATAAAGATTTATTCTAACACTAAATATATTGCGAGACGTTTTTTCATTTACTTCATTATAACCGATATTTCGTTATATCCGGATTCGTTATATTGAGGTTTGAGTGCAACATCTGTGCGCCGCCATCCGACGCTGCGTTTTCCGTTGTTGGGTTTGTCGTTGTGAACTTAGTTGGGACACCTGCTGTGCAGGGCGCGTTCGGCCGGTGCGCTAGCTACACGGCTGGTTACTAACAGCATGCGCTGGAGCATTGTAACCGAGCGGCTGGACGACACTTCGGCGTCGATTCATGCACTTTCATTACGGGACGAAACAAAAAGAGCTTTGGGCTACAAAAAAAATTTGTCGCGCAGTTCACGGGTCTAAACAACTAAAGTCGTCACCCGAAGTTTTCGCTGTTAAGACTCTTGTGTAATGAATCCTTCCCCTAAATTGGCGTCAACTTTCTTGAAAAAAAATAAAAGGTGGGTTCATTACGCGCGTAAATACGGCATATTGCATGTGTCATCCAAACCAAGACCTCGTAATATACATGCTCACACACAAGCACATGCATGAACATGCATAAAGGATATTTAATACCCCGAGCCCCCAACCCACCAACGAAAATTTCAAACTATGCTCCTGACTATCGCATACCTTGACATTGCCACACCCAGTTTACCCAGGCCCCTCAGTGCGTCCCACACTTCCCCAAAAACTTTTTTGATAACCCAGGGACCACAGCTCCGGGCCACTCACGTCAGGTGCCAGCCTTGAAATGGAGTCCAGGCTGGAGTTCTCCAAGGCTAGGACAGGGGGCTCAGGCACCACTGACTGTGACCCTACGGGGGGGGTCACTTTGAGTGGCGAGTCCAGTGTGTTCAGCAGGGAGCTCAGCGAGAAATTTGAGCCCTGCGAGAAAGAAAAACTCGGCCTATGGATTCATAGTGATACAATAACGACAGGCAAAGAAACATAGCAAGTTAAACCAAAAACAAACCCACCAAAAGAACATTGATGACTCAATGTAAGAGGGGAACACCAACATCAGGGAGAAAAAAAAGACGGAACAAGATATGTGTCTCCTCTTGATAATGGAAACGTTTTAAGAAAGCATTAAAGCAGGCACGTCCACAGGAACGAAACACTTATGTGAGACAATGAACATGCAATTTATGTGCAACAAGGCACCTCTATTTTTTTCTTCACGCATATAGAAAAGCAAATACTTCGTGTGAAGCACCTGTTATCGAAGAAATACACTGAAACTCCGTTATAACGAAGTTGAAGGGGAGTCACAAATATTTCAGTTAAACCCATTATTTCTAGGCTTGTGCGAATAGTGAATTTCAGGGTCGAAGCAAATTTGAAGCGAATAGTGAATTTGGTCGAATAATTTCGAATGGAATTCGAATAGTATGTATGACATATAAAAAAAAGAGAATATTTATCATAACCTAACTAACCTGCACGATATTTCTTTTGAATTGAAATAGGGACTCTAAGCAAATGCCTTTTTTTTTTCGTTGAAAGGAAGTCGAAACAACCTTTATTATTAGTTTCGGTAGGATCGGAGTGATAACCTGTACGATACATAAAGTTTTAAAATTTATTATACTTAAATCCTATAAACCATCATAACAAGCTTAATAAAATGGATTGTTTTGAGGGTAACATGTTCCTTTAAAGGGGCCCTGCAACACTTTTTCAAGTATCCATGGAGCCAGTAAACATGCTTGTCGCCTCACAAGTTTACCGCCGCAAAATTTCTAGAATCGGTCCAGTACAAGCGGAGTTGCAAAAATTTGTCGCATGCTGCAATTGCATTCTCCATTCTCAACCCGTCAAAAGATCTGGAAGCTAAGTAGGGAAGGATGGCACGAGAATAGAAAAAAACGTCATGAGCGCCTAGCGACTTTGAGCACCTTTTCTCTCTTTTTTTCTTCGAATACGAGGCCTTTCAGTGCGATCGTGCACGTACTTGTGGACAAGCGGCAGCTTCACGCGGCGGTCCGATAACGACGAGCGCGCCATGCTCAAATCAGCCAATGACTGTGACCAGAGCCGTATTTTCTTTCTTGGCTGCGACAAGTGATTTTTGAGCTTGTAGTGTCATTTGCTGAGGGAAGAGAGCAATTTTTAGCTTTGAAAATTTATTGTGAATTTCAGGCCGCGTGCTGCGCAACAAAACTTGCCTCGCGTGTTATCGGCAGCCTCTACTACCGATCGGCAGCGTTTTCTGACCATGCTCAGCAAGTGTTGCAGGGCCCCTTTAAATCTGAAGGAGGGCTTCGTGGCAAAGCAAATTTCTCCTGAGTAGGTGCTTTCACGGCTTGCATTACTACATTGTAGTGAAACCACCTTTACAGGCGGACTAATGAACATTTATTTGTTCATTGCGAATACTTTAAAAATATTCGATAAGTTAAATTCGAATCGAAGCAAATTCGAATACTCACCTATTCGTTCGAAGCATTCGAATATTTGCAAAAGCCTAATTATTTCGTTATATCGATTATAACAGTTTATGAAAATAAAATATATGCTCAGATGGGCGCACACCTAAAGCTTGCTAAAAAGGAAGCCGCCTTGCGGCTAGATGTACCGCTAGGCGACCACACGTGCGACATAAAATAAACACAGTCGAATCTCATTATTTAAACACCCTTAATTCGAACTTCAGGTTAATTTGAACTCCAGCTGTGGTCCCGTCAAAGCTATGTGTATTCCAATAGGCGAAAACGCCCTGTAATTCGAACGCGCAAGCACTTGCGACGGTTAATTCGAACGTACGGCGCTCGGAAAAATGCTCTCAGCGCCGTGCCCAATCACGCGGTGGCACCTCTCATCCCTGCCTGCGAAGAAGGAAAAAAAAAGAAAAGGAAAGAAAAGACTGTGGTGGATTGTTTGCTCTCTCTCAAATGCCAATCTGCGACACGCCTGTGCCACGCTTCTCCCTTTTCCGTCTCTGCACGTAGAGACACTTCTCTTTTCAAGGCCGTGCGCAGAGAGAGAGAGGGGAAAAAAAGAAAGCTGTCGGGGAGGGTCCTCCTTTCTCGGTGCAGAGGGTAGCAGCGGAGACGCAGTTGTTGCCGCCGTCTTTCGAGAGTGTTGGTGCTGGACTTAGCCGCGCGCTACTATGCTTTGCAAACTACATGCGAAATTGACTGACTTGCTGCAAGGCAAACGTATGCAAACCCGCATCACCGATTATTTCAGTTAATGACGGATGTCCTCTGATTTTGTGAATAAAAGTAAGTCTTCTGAAGCTTCCCCATTGTGTGTTCTTATAAGTGAGAGGGAAATCACTTTGCACCGCGGCACCGCTTCTCAGTCACGTGATCCGCTGAGCGCTTTCTCAATCATCTCCGTTGGCTGTGTGAAGAGGAGGGCTCTCTCGGCCACGCGTGGCATGGTTGTAAGATCGGCGCGGGAGTTTTGGAAGAGCCGTGCCAAGCGAGCGTCAAACTCCGCAGAAAACGGTATACTTAACACACTACGGGCAGGTTTTTTTTTTACTATTTGATAGACTAATTTAGTTCGTTATATCCATTTACCGTTCAATTTTACTACGTTACAAGGAGGTTTAAATGCATGGTTCTCAATGGAGCTTTCAAGGGGAACTTCATTTACTTTATTATATCCATTATTTTGTTATATCCTGTTACGTTATAACGAGGTTTAAGTGCACTGCTATGCTTCTGGAATTTTTCATTTAACTGATCAATGTTCCTGGATCATACAAAATTCACATTCCACAGAGTTTTATATTCTTAATGACAACAAGAAAATCTTTCTACAAAACAGCATGCTTTGAAAAGACTAAATTTTTTCTTTTTTTTTTTCAAGTGCAGTCCTCCAACTGTATTATTTCAAATGACTAACATTGCATCACAATACCAACTGCCACAGTTGAATCTGAAGCTGACTGGATTGTTGCTAGATTAAGTAAAAGATTGAAAGATTTCTTGCACCAATACTTTCATAACTTTACATGTTATGACAAACAAATGCATTTTTCCATCTATGCAGAACAGATAAGCAAGCAATTTAACACAAACAAAAAGGAAACACTTATTGTCAAGTTATTGAAATTCCAGACTACCTCGCCATTCAGCCAATTGGGATCTGGGGCTGAAGGACAAGTTTGAATGGACTCATAGGCGGTGTTGTCAAGCCATCCGTCTTGTCAATGACAGCACTTTTCTCCATGGGAGTGGCAGACACTTCCTCGCAGGCCAGCTTGAAGGCGGCTGAAAATAAGGGACAACGCAGCTGCTTCAATCACGTTGTTCAAGTATCATACGCAAAGCTATGTCATAAACATTTAGTAAAGAGTTCGGGTCGATAATGAAAACAGGGATAGCACTTGACAAAACCATCATGAATTTTACAGTCACAATAGTTCAAAACTTTTCATGTGACATGACGCTTGATAATTGGCATGCAGTGCGCACATTGAGCACTGCAAAGCTGCAACCATTGGCAAGTACTGCCACATAGGTCATGATTTTCCAATGAGCATGACAGTAGCAATCGATTTCATTGAATTGTGAAGACACACGAACTGACTGATCCAAATGAATGAATGATTTCAGCATACTAGAGCATCACTGGTGCTGTGAGAAAGACTGTAGTGCAGCAAAACTTTGTTAAACTGTACCCGCGTAAACAGTAGTTTGGTTTTAAAAGTAGTGAAGCCAAATCCTCGACTCGGCGGCCATTGAACATAATGCATTTTATATTCGCATAAGCCGTACCAGCTAATCGCATATGTATCGGTTAATAAGTAGTTTTTCCAATTTTCGTTGTGCACTCGCCGCAGCATGTTGTCCCCCACTGGGCGTCCCGACAGAACAGCAAGCCCCAGAGATCGAAACACGCCTTGCTTGTTTGTGTTGATGATGATGGCGGCTGTGTTGGTGAGCGCCATCTCGTGGATTTTTCTGCAACAAGAAGCACTCAGCCGGCTAGGCTTCTGGTGTTGTCCACGCGATCGCGCTTAGCACAAACACGCAAACACGGTGTGCGCTTGCTTTGCTTTCTTTGTTCCTTAGGCGCCGTGCATAGGTGTTCTCTGGTTTATCCGTGCCGCACAGCTCTCTCATTGTTTTTCACGTGTTGTGTATGTGTGCTTGTGCTGGTTCGTACTTGCGTCATGCCGAAGCTGGGACAAAAGCATCCAGTGCTAAAAATAGAGGAGAAATTAGACATAATTCGTGCTATTGAAAGTGGCACAAAAAAAACGGCGCTGGCACGCGAAAAGGACCTGTTGTTAACCACGGTGTGTGGAATTTGGAATTCCAGAGAGAAGTTGCTCGGCAGTGTTGCTACAACTGCGAAAAGGTGCCGGCTACGCGGTTCGGCATTTTCGGACGTAGAGGAGGTGCTGGTGAAGTGGCTAAAAGCTGCACGGTCAAAAAATCTGCCTATCAGCGGACCCCTGCTTGTGACGAAGGTCCTGGTTTTTGCCTCGCAGCTCAACCATGACAACTTCGTGTGCAGCAATGGCTGGCTGGCCAGATTTAAGGTGAGGCACGGCATTACCACGAGGACTGTTTCGGGAGAAGGTGCTGCTCCTGACGTGGATGGCGCGGAGCAGTGGCAAAATGGTGAGCTGAAGAACATCTTGGAAGACTACGCACCTGATTACATCTTTAATATGGATGAATCGGCGCTATTTTTTAAGCTGCTACCAGACAAAATGCTCGCGTTCAAAGGCTAGACGTGCACCGGCGGCAAGCATGCAAAAGACAGAATATCAGTGGCGTTTTGGGTAAACATGACTGGAACCGACGAAACTCCGCTCCTCGTGATTGGAAAGTCGGCGAAGCCTAGATGTTTCAAAGGCGCCCGCTTGGCATCAGGGGTCATTTATGGCAGCAACAACAAAGCATGGATGACGGCAAAACTCTTTGAGGAGTACGTGCGCCTCATTGATCGTCATTTTGCGGCTAAGAACAGAAGAGTTGTTGTTATTTTAGACAACGCTTCGGCGCACGTCGCCCTGGACAACCTGACGGCTGTGAAGTTGGCGTTTCTGCTACCAAACACAACAGCGATTGCCCAGCCCTAGGACCAAGGCATCATTCGAGCTGTAAAACAGCTCTACAAGAAGAATCTGCTGCGCAGATTTCTTCTCGCCATTGAATGTGGCAAATTATTCTCAATCGACCTGATTGGCGCGATTCACCTGCTCGAATACTCGTGGCGGCAGGTTGAAGCAATGACAGTTCAAAATTGCTTCAAGCGTGCTGGCTTCAGTGTGTGTGCGGGCGACGCAGATGACGCCAGTGACACCATCGACCAGACTTCGGACATCGTAGACAAAGCTTGCAAAACTCTGCTAGCTGAAGTGCTGGAGCGGCAGGGCGTTATGGAAGGCATTTCCTTCCCCGACTTCAGAGACGCAGACAGCGATGTGCAGACATCTCCGGACATGTCCGACGAAGCCATTGTTGCCTCGGTTGTCGAAGTGTCACCAAATGATAGTGATGAGGACGACATGGAAAGCGACAACGCATGTGATCCAGGTCCGACAGTGGCCGAAGCTGCGCATTGCGTCAGCGTCATGTGGGTATTTGCCGAGAAGAGGGGGCTGGCGGAAAGCTGGCTCACAGCATAAGTGAGTTTGAGGCCGCAGTCGTTGCTGCTAGGCCGCCGCGTCGTCAAATGAAGATTACAGACTTTGTCACGCGAAGTTAATAAATTACTGCACGTTTTTTGTTTTTTCATCGCACTCCCTGAAGGTTTCTTCTTTTTAAGGGGGGATGCTACACCTTCCAAAAACTCTTTTATTTTTGCGAGTACCTCAGTCAAATTTGGAGAGCCTATGTAGATTTTACTGCTGATTTCAAAAATCTAATTCTTTTTTTGCTGTGACAATTAGTTTTAAAGATATAATGAACTGCGACTTTTTCAATTAAGGCCTAATTAGCTAATTAACTGTAACTTGGATATTGATGTGCAACCTATAGAACCAATTCGGTATGTTCACAGTGTGCAATAAAGTATAAATCATTGTTCTGGGCTATTTCGAAGCAAAGTTGTGGGATGTTGAATATGACATGAAAAATTTCCCCATCTACACTTGAAACAAAAGATCCATTTAGAGAATTTTCTCCAAAAATTATTACAATAAAACTTACTTTACGACACATCCCCTGCATTTATCTTCCAAACAAAAAAGAAATCGTAATGATAACCCAGATAGAACAAGAGATATTGCTCCGGCATAATGAGAAGCACATGAAAATTGTCGTTTTGAGAAATCGAGAAAAAACGTGGGCACACATTTTTATTGCAGAAGATGCAACAAGACAACCTCAAAAGCACCAGAAGCATAGTCTGAATGCATTCTGTGCTCATGCCTCCTCTTCACTAGCTTCCGGAGTTCCAATGAGGCTGTTCTTTCTTGTTGGAGACAATGCTGCGACGGTGGTCTTTTTCTCTCGCTCTCCTGGCACCAGTACTTGTCGCATTAATGTCCATTTCACCTAAGTATTGCCGTTTGCAGAATTCAAATTGCCCGTGTTGAAGCGCAGCACTGCTTCTGCAACAGCTGCTTCAACAGCGAACAGGGACGCATGGTGCTCCTTGGGGGCCAAACTCCAGATTACCGAATGTAGGCTCTCGTTGGAGTTCTGCGTTTTGCCGCGTTCGCACCTCTGAAGCAGGGCTCTTTCCGAAAGCCGGGTATAAACCGGTAGTAATGCCTCTGCCACGTCTTTCGGTAGATTGTAGGCATGCCTGGGGTCGGGCTCACCCTTTGCTTTTGCGGCATTGTGCCGACACCATGAAGTTTCACCAGCTGGGCACAGACTGTGGTCCGAGCATTCATCAGTGGAGGTGACGTGGCGGTATGTGGCCATCACAGCCTTTTGCATCTCGCCCACGTCACCTTCATGCGATTTCAGAGCCCGGCCATAATATGTGCTCAGCCTGGTGATCAGCTCACCTGTGAGCCTGCCTTTCCCACCAAGGCCTCTTTTCCCCTCGCACTTTTGTTTCTGCACCAGGTTTCTCAATGCGGTGCCCATCCGTCTTGTCAATGACAGCACTTTTCTCCATGGGAGCGGCAGACACTTCCTCGCAGGCCAGCTTGAAGGCGGCTGAAAATAAGGGACAATGCAGCTGCTTCAATCACGTTGTTGAAGGATCATATGCAAAGCTATGTCATAAACATTTAGTAAAGAGTTCGGGTCGATAATGAAAACAGGGATAGCACTTGACAAAACCATCATGAATTTCACAGTCACAATAGTTCAAAATTTTTCATGTGACATGACGTTTGATAATTGGCATGCAGTGCGCACACTGAGCACTGCAAAGCTACAACCATTGGAAAGTACTGCCACATAGGTCATGATTTTCCAATGAGCATGACAGTGGCAATCAATTTCATTGAATTGTGCAGACACACAAACTGACTGATCCGAATGAATGATTTCAGCATACTAGAGCATCACTGGTGCTGTGAGAGAGACTGTAGTGGTACACAATGTTAACTTATGCTACCATAGGTCTCTCATGCAACCTGAATTAAGGAGAGAATTTCTGCATTTAACACTTTGTCACAATGCACCAGTGACCAAGCCTACAAAGTTGTCATCAGAAGGAAAAGTATTTTCGGCCAACAGGCGCCAAGCAACAGATATTAGGCAGAAGGGAAGCTGGAACTTACCGGCAAGATTTGAGTCCGAAACTGCAGTAAAGCTTGGTAGAGGGTTGCTAGCCTCGACTGCAGGGCCGTCTGCATCAAGGGCCGAGAGACCTGCAGCACAGATCGATTCGACAAAGGGGCAGATGTATCAGATTGTCATAATGCAACACGAGACAACACAGTCAACGTCCAATTTCTGAGGTGCCCGAAATTCCTGACTCATCTGTGGCACCACCAAGTTCCCCATAGAGTCAATGTATTGAAAAGTCCAAAATTTCGGACACTTATAGCCTTGGCCATCCAATCTTCCGCACTTTTTACAGCTAACCGCAGACTCGAAGTCATTTCGGTTGCTTTTGCCATTTTGGTTGCTTTCGTACCCTCGAACCCACCATACTCGCATCGCAGGTGTGACCAGCAGCACTGTACTGTAGCTTCCGTAACCATAGAATTTCCTAAAATTAACTGAAAAGGTCTTTGGCACTGCGATCGCTCAACAACCATAGGAATGATGGGTAGTACACAAATTTGCTTACTCTTCGTGCTTGCCGGCTTCGAACGTGCTAGTGGCTTCGTCTATTACCGTAATTACTCAAATCTAATGCGCACCTTCTTTCCGATTAGGCGAGTTCATAAATCGCATGCGCGGTAGAATCGAGTACGAGCAAAAAAATTACGGTCAATCTATTGCCATCGGCAAATCCAAAATGACCGCCCCCTACGTGCGTCGGCATGGCACGTCGGCCATTTCTGCCTATGTGTTTTCCATGTGCGGCACTTCGTACGTGTGCTGAGGAGTTCGTCATCTAATAGTGCATTAGCATCGACGGCGTGGAAGGGCCGACTCCAAAAACTCGAGTGCACCACGATGGCGCTTTTAAAAGAAAAGTCATCGCGTGTGCAGAAACGGACGGAAATCAGGCCGCATCGCGGTCGTTCGGAGTTCCCGAAACGTGCGTGCGGGGCCGGCGGAAACAAAAGCAGAAGATTGTCGACAGCAAAGCTTCACGCAAAGGCTTCAGTGGACCACAGCAGGGTCGGTTTCCTCAAATTAAAGAGCTGCTCGGCGAGTGTGTGCTTGAGCAGCGAGCGGCACAGCGGCCCGTGACGACAGAACTGCTCCAAGTGCGGGCTATGCAATTAGTCTTAGAAAAAGGTCTAATGCGAAGCCAGTTTAAGCGAGCAGGTGCTGGATAACTAACTTTATGAAGAGGAAAGGCTTTTCCCTCCGATGGCGAACGGGCATATGCGAAAAGTTTCCGGAGGAGTACGATGAAAAGCTTCACAGTTTTCAGAGGTTCGTCCTTAACTTGCGGCGCAACAACGGCTACCTGCTTGGGCAAATCGGGAATGCCGATCAGACGCCTCTTTACTTCGACATGCCTGGCACCACAACCGTTGAGAAGAATCAGGCGAAGCAAGTTCGCGTGCTGACATCGGTCCACGCTAAAACTACAGTGACGGCAATGCTCTGTTACACGTCAGATGGGCACAAGCTTCGCCCGTACCTCATATTTAAATGGAAAACGCTCCCGAAAGGAGTCGTTTTTTCGAGTGGTGTGATCGTGCGGGCCAGCGAGAAAAATGGGTGCACGTTGCAATCGATGTCTTACTTTTTTTTTTTTTTTCGCAGTGGAAATCGGGTGCGCGTTACAATCGAGGGCGCGGTAGAATCGAGTAAATACGGTACTGCGTTTTGGTTTTGTTTCGAATGAAAGAGAGCTGATGATAGCACCGCGCTATGCCCAAACCAAAACTGTATTTCGCCCAAACATTCTCGGGACCCGCATAATATACGGGGCCTAAATTATTAAAATCCAGGAAAAAAAATGGGGTATAGAAAATACGGGGGCTTTTACGCTATCCGCACACCCACTGTGCCACTGAAATTTTCGGGTTTTCGGAGCGGGTCATATGCACGAAAATATGGTAGCTGCCGGGGTAGCTCAGTTGGTATAGCCTTGCACATGTTATTTTCAGGTTGCAGGTACGGCCCCTGCCTATGGCAAGTTATCTTTTCATCCACTTTAATTTCTTTACAATTACAGTGCAATTACTTATAACATGCCCTATACTTTCCTTGGCATGATTATCTGTTAGATCTCATTAATATTATAACAAAGAAAACAAGCCATTAAATGTACACTCATTTCCCAGGTTCAAGTGAGTCACATTGGTAGTCTGTTTGCTGACTGAGTATTGAAGCTGGTACAACACGCAAATCTACCTTTACGCTCATTGGCCCTTCCTAAGAAAATTTAGGAGTCATCAATGACTGCAATAACAACTATTTTTCCCTATGCTCAATTACAAGCAAGGCAGTGGGACTGCTTTTGTCCCTATTTCAACAAACAACAAAAAATACGCTCACAAACATACCAGAGAGTTCAGATCCCAGGCTTGGCAGTGTGGTGGCATCTCCCAAGATCTGCCCGGTCGTGCCTTCTGATGGAAGACCTGCAAAAGGTGGGTCGCCAAATTAGTTCTGAGAGTACCTTTGTTATTCGCTTTTTTTGTTTTTTTAACTGTTTTCTTGAGACGTTTAAAGTGCCAAAACACCATATTTTTCAGATACTACAGCACAGGCCATTACTAGTGTTTCATTTGTGCGTATTTTGTCTACCACTCACTGCACTGCCTGACAAACACCTGATCAGTAAAAATGTGCGACACATAAACAGATTAAGAGACTTAAACCATAAAAGGCCAAAAAGTGCTGGAAGCAGAGAAGTATGCACAGCTAAAAGTGGAAGTCGTGCAAGTTACGTTTCAATACATTGTTAGGAGTGAATTCCATCTCACAAAAAGCATGAGTTGGCTGCGTCAGTAGCCCTATCATTAATGCTCAGAAATCTGTACAAAGTCACACTGTTCCTAGGGTAGGCATATGGAACACAGCAAACAGCATTCATATGCTTATACTGTTTTAATTCCAACAAAAAGATGTCTTAACGATAGCACGAAATAATTTTTTATTTCTGAAGCCCTTCTATCAAGGGTAGATATTTTTATGTAGCAAGGCAACTTCAAATGCATTCACAGGCAAGTGCATTCCACTGTCAGTGTTTATGCTAATTACAAGGTGGCACTATATTTAACCACATAACAGTTGTATGGTGAGGCAAATGCAGAAATTGAGCAATTCGCAAGAAATCGCACAATGCAGAGGGGCTGGTGCAATGTAGCTATGTAAAAAAAATGTGTCACTCCGGTAAAAAGAAATAAAACAAGCTAACCATTCTGTCAGAGTACTGATTCAACACTTTCGTCTTAGTGAAAAGGCCAAGAACATTATTAGTCATACTCACTTTCAGGTAAGGAAATGTCTAGTAAAGATGAAATGTTTGGTGGTGAAAGGGGCTGGACTCTGACTGGTGAAGCAGCAGCAACAGAAGCAACATCCAATGCATCTCCAGGAAGGGTCTAGGCATTGCAAAACACAAGTTGACTGGTTCTAGAGGCGACGAACATTAAAGTGACACTTGATGCATAGCGTTGTCACTTTTAAACATTTTTCAAAACATGCACACTACAAACAATAATTTTACATTCAAATTCCACTGTTTAATGGCAAAAATCTGAAATACTGATTAAAGAAGCATTGATACAAAAGAGACCAGCTTCCTATCAATGGCAGGTTGCCTCCTTGGTTACATAATCGTCGGTAGACGAACTTAAATGATAATTGAATGATATGAATGAATGACAATCGAGCCAGACACTTTACTACCCTAAATACATTCAATCCAGGGTCGTAGTAAGTCAACTGCAGCTAGTGAGTGCTTTGAACTGAGCAGTGTAAGTCAAGCCAAAACCAGGACAAGCCACACAGCATTTCGGCTGTTTTTGACCTCACATTCTCACTTCGCGAATTTCTATTTAAAGAACAAGGCTGGCTCTCTGCTACTGCACGCTTTCTCCACATCCGACTCAAGGCGGTTGACTACTTACCTTGGTCGCTTCTGCACTTTCAGCCAGAGTCAGGACAGGTGGTTCGTCCACCACCAGGTTTGTAGTCTGTGGCGCATTCTGAACGACAGCCACCGTGTGAGCTTGTTGTGAGGCCACCAGCACAGTCGATGTGCTGGTGGCCTCCATGACAGCAGGGCTGTTGGTGGTGATGGGATGGCCTGACGGCGACACGGACATTGCCACGCTGTTGGCATCAATCAGTGGCACTTGCACGGGCTGCATGTCGAATGTAGCCCCTGCAATGCTCGTGGCAGCTGAAAGAACAATGAAAATTCGTGATGAGTCTTGACATGCCTGTTGCTGACTACACTACAAGTGCTGGGGGTTAAACTTAGCAGTTGAATGCATTGCGGAACCTCGTTAGCTTGAATTCCAAGGGGACAGCAAGTTTGCTAAATGATATACAGGAAAGCATCCTGAACTAAAGTGCTCCCGTGACCCACATTTGCCAGCCTTGGGAATTGTTTATCGTTGGTAAAATAAAATGTGAACCTATGTTCTGCAGCCTTAAGGAGCACAGCTCACAAGGAAGCTAGTGCAATACAATAAGGGTGAGAGAGAGTGGCTAGAGCACAGCACAGGCCGATTTTTCCAGCCCAGGCCCGGCCCGAAAGCGGCATGCTCCGGATGCATGTTTTTAAATATGGCCCGTACCCGGCCCGGGCCCCAAACATTTGGGCCCGGCCCGGCTCGGTTTGTTTCAGCCAGTTATGCCTTGAACACAAACGAGGCACTGTGCTATTTTTGGCTATAGTGAAGATACCTGTCACACGAAAGATATTTTCTAGTGAGAGTTTTCAGAACTTCTTTCAGCGTCATGACTACAACTAGTACCCTGTACACGTTCGGCTAACTACACCCTTACCACTTTTGCAAAGTAAGCGCAGGGCAATATAAAATGTAATTGGAGTCATACATAGCTATCTCATATACGCAGTGCTAAGCACGCAATCTTACTTTTGCATTTCAAAGAACGACTGCAACATACACTACCCCCATAAAGTGGAAAAAATTGTAGACATTTTTAGTTTTAGTCTGCATAAATTGCATTTGACCTGGGAGGAGTTGAGTGAAAGTATCAAGTCTCCTGCAAACATCATTAAGTACACAATGCAATAAAAAAAAGAAGCTCCAGCTGCTTCTAGTAGGAATATACCTTGTGCAAAACTGCTCCCATTTGCCGGCCGTCATGTGCATACCACCATGTTAGAGGCTCAGCGCGGCGCAGTACGCACAGTCCGTGTGTGTTTGCATGCACGTACGTGTACGTATTACGTATCGACGTGAGGCACGTATTGGCTGATGATCTCAATGCCGACTTATTGCTGCGTCCCTTACTGCACACAGAGAATAACTTGAAATGCTAAATAAAAAAGGTAAGCTGTAAATGTTGCTTCTTATTTTTTCAGGCTGATGTATTTTAGTATAATAACACATATTTTCACAGCCATGATTATGTTTTAGGTAGGAGTGTGCGAATGAATTTCGAATATTTTGTTACTAGTGCTTGCTATTCGCTTCAATTCCCACAGCAATATTATCATTCGAATCTATTCGAACTTCCCTAAGACAAATACAGTCAACATCTGATAACAAGTGACCGCTTCAAACTTTCAATATCTTTCACCACATCACACACTCGTATTGCGGCGAAACTAGCTTTCATTGTCTGCTACGGTTTAACTTTTTAAAGACATTTAATTTTTGATTAAAAGTGGACCCTTCAAATTTTCAACATGCTTCACCTCATCACACTCCCGTATTGCAGCGAAGCTGCCTTTCAGGCTCCAAAACGATAGGCAATTGTATTGACTCGGGAAAAGCTGGTACCAAGAGATGATACATGTGGAAGAGATGGGGCTTAATTAATGCTGTTTCGGGCCTGAATTTCCGCAGGAAATGCAAAAAATCGGATGCCGGAGATGTTTAGCATTCAAAAATTCATATCTTCTTATATATTGGTGTCTATGAGGCAATTTTGGAACTCTGGACTTGGAATGGAGCACACCCTTGCCCGCCACATCAGCTGCGCTTCAACAGAAGTTAAAAGAGGAGGAGAGGCTGAGAAAATAACATCTTTACCTTTCACGTGTTGGCAACACCTCTGGTTGTAGCAAATCATACACATAAGTACAATTCGGTCTCTGCACTACCTCTGTCTTAATAAGACAACAATGCAACACCACCCCGCCAGCGCTTCATCAACCTAGCGAAAAGAAGCACTTTCATCTAGCTATCTCGTAAAAATATGCTTAGAGATCCTTTTAACTTTCTTTCGACAATTTCACTTTGAAGTATTCAAAAAGTATTAGATTACTTCGCACTCACACTTCAGTGGAGAAATTTGCTTGGCAACCAAAATTTTGCTATTCGCACAGCTCCAGTTTTAGGCCAAGTCACACTTCAAGCTAGGGTCTTATTCTCACATCCAGAATGTATCCTCCCCAGTGCTACAGTGCCCATTCTGAAGCAGGCAGAGATATCACACCAAGTATAGCATTTCTACAAATTTCAACCACCTCTTTTCACCCAGCCAGGGAGCACTTACCTGCTGGATGAATGAGCTTGACGATCCCTTTGCCTTGGGGCAGGGGATCCGATGCCAAGGGCTGCACTACGGCTGCCAGTGTGGCCTGGGTTGAGGGTAGTAGCTGCACTAGTGTGACAGGACGACTGTCGGCACGAGGAAGTAGGGGCCGTTGGACCACCAACGGCTTCCGCGTTGTGCGCAGCCGCATGCCTCTTCTGTTTCCTGGAACCAGACGCTGGGGGGGGGGGGGGGGATACCGCACTCTTACGTTATGTCATAGTAGAGTCGATCTAAACACGTATTTCACAGTAAACCTGTCACCACGACGTTTCAAAGTAAATTTGCGCACGTCTCTCACATTGATTACTATACAAATAAAGTGTCACAAGAAAGAAGACAATGCCAATAAGCAGGTGAACAGTCAGAATAAGTGTCTCCTTAATTGATCATAGGGGTCATAGGCTTGGGTAGAGAATTAAACATCGCAACGTTTGCAGCAGTATGACCCGGAAGCAGTCAGACATTATGGTCATACTTTGTCAGCTGCGAGGTAGGTGATGACGATGAAACAGTGACTCTGCGGTGATAAACTAAAGCTCTCAGTTCGATGACCAAAACTGGGGGAGCTTGAGAACGGAAACCTTGGGCCCGTGAGGTTGCGGTGATGGCAACAGAAGTCATGACTGTCTGGCTTTGGGAAGGACTGCCATGACTGCAGTGCTTGAGTACCTGGCAGCTGTAGGCCAAGCGAAGCGGCTGAGTCGAGCACAAATAAGGACGGGAGAGCAATCAGGTGAAGTCTGGGTTGCCAATTTGTGGGAACAGGCAGACAGACGTCGTTGCTTTGATACCACAAGTTATATACGATATATTGCCAATTATACGTAGACTTTTTTTCATGAAATGGCCTTCCGAAGTTCAGGGGTCAACCTATAATCAGAGTCGATGTATACGTAGAATCGTAAAATCGACTTTTCTGAGGGGCCCAACGTCATCCTAGTATTCACTGCTGTTCGACGCATCGATAACATGAGCCGCAGAGGCAACCGAATCGCAGTAACTGATATCTCCCAATGCTGGCACGCTGCTTTCAGGGCTGGACAGTTTTAGGATCTGTCGTGACGATCGGAAAACTACGGTATAGCTATGCTATGGTGGCGTGAGGAGCAATGGCGCTTCAGAAGATACAGCATTTTTTCATGACGCGCCGCCAACGGCATTAGGGTTGGAATGATAGTGCCACCGCATCTGCGCGTCTGTTGGGTGAGATCAGCAACAACACAGGTACTCTCCGCATAATGAAGAAACTCGACATACGTTTATCGCTCACTAACAATGCAACATAAATTTATCTGTCGCGAAAAACTTTAAATGCATTTCTTGCTCGCAAAAGAACGTGACGTTTATCGTTCACGAAAGGCTTGCCATGCGTATCTTGCTTTAGCAGCGTGCTCTAACAGTGCATCTTAAAAGCGCTTGCTGACTAGGCAATTAAAAAATTTAGACATCCCACAAAGCACCATAGGGCATTCCACAAAAGAACTGGCAGTGCCGTGTGGGCTGGCAACACTGTGCGGGAAACTAAACCACGTGACTAGTCACATGCACCCACGCATGCGCCCACAAGCGTCTTCACGTCTTTTTGCACTCACGTCTGTTCACCATTCCTGCACGTACCCCCACGAACAGTGGTGTGCATAATATGTGAAGCTGCACAACAGACGCCAAAATGCCACTGTTACACCATCAACAGGACAACTGCTTTCAAGCGGCATGCAATCTTCTACGCAGAGTCAGAAAGCAGCGTTGAAGTAAATGCCACTGCTACACCGTCAACAGGACAACTGCTTTCAAGCGGCAAGCAATCTTCTACGCAGAGTCAGAAAGCAACGTTGAAGCAGGGCAGAAGTTCGATGTGTCGGAAAAGTAAGTGAGGGAATGGAAAAAACAACGGACCAAGATCTTCGTGCGCGCTGCGACACACCATTCCTTCCACGGACTGAAGTCTAAACGATACTCAGCTTGTTGAGGAGCAATATGAGATTAGGTTCACGACCAGAGAAGCGAGAGTCCGAGTGTGCTACGATGATAGTGAAACAAAAGCTAGAAATGTCACGAAGGATATGTGCATCCCGCTAACCAAGTTCATACTGAGCTCTTTGAGGGAAGTGTGTTAATGATGCCTGGTATGGACTGCCAGCCGATACGACACGATTCACGTGGTATTTTTCATGAGTGGCATCTCATTACCACCAGCACCCTTTTCAACGGCGAGCAGTAGCAGTAGCTCACACGATGGCCATGATCGTGACTTCTGAATCTTTCTCTCAAGCGACAAGTGAAAAGCAATGTTTCATGGTCAAATGTTTTGTAAGAATACTGCTAGACGCACGCCGGGGTAGAGCAACCGTTTATTGGGCCTAACAGCACCGAGATAGCAACCAGCGGTTTCAGCAGCAGCTGCAGCAGCACGAGCCTCCGCCACAACAAACGTCTTCTTCGTGGTTCTTAGAGCTCGCATTTGTCACTACATTGACTCCCCGGTGCGAAAGGAGCCATCCTGGCGACCTATGGCACAGACAGGACTGGTGCGTCGTAGTGAGGTTTTAGACGCTCGACGTGCACAGTCTCGCGCCCGCGGCGCCGTTGATCTGTAGGTGGCTGAATAGGTTCAACTATGTAGTTGACTGGTGAAGTCTGGCGCAGGATCTGGTACGGACGGTCATACTTGGGTATGAACTTTGAGCAAAGGCCTGGGGCAGACGATGGCATGCCGAGCCACACGATTACCCCAGGCGCGTATGACGAAGGGGATGAGTGTCGGTCATGCGAGTGCTTCTGGCGAGCCTGATCGTGCGTCGTTAGCGAACGTGCTAGCTGCCGACATTCTTTGGCATATGTGGCGGCTTCGGCCAAAGTTGTCGATTCTGAAGGGTCTGGGCGGTACAGAAGGATAGTGTCCAAGAACGATGAAGGTTCCCGACCATAAAGAAGGAAGAGTGGGGAGAATCCAGTTGTCAATTGAATTGCGCTATTGTAAGCATAAGTAACGAATGGCAGTATGCAGTCCCAGTTCGTATGGTCATCAGAAACATACATGGAGAGCATGTCACCCAGCGTGCGATTAAATCGCTCAATCATCCCGTTTGTTTGGGGGTGGTATGCGGTCGTTGTTCGGTGCACGATGTTGCATTCGCGCAGAAGGGCTTCTACAGGTTCCGACAAGAAAGAACGCCCACGGTCACTGAGAAGCTCGCGGGGTGCACCATGCCGAAGGACGAGGTTGTGCAGAATGAACAGGCCGATTTCACGCGCAGTGGCCTCGGGAAGCGCCGAAGTTTCGGCGTAGTGCGTAAGGTGGTCCACGGCTACGATGACCCAGCGGTTTCCATTTGGTGTGCATGGTAGGGGACCGTACAAGTCGATTCCGATGCGGCTGAAAGGCTGAGAAGGACAAGCCAGTGGCTGGAGTGGCCCTCTAGATGTGCGAGGAGAGCTCTTCCGGCGTTGGCACAAGGAACATGAATGAACGTACTCCCTAACAAAGCGTACATTCCGCGCCAGCAATATCGAATTCGTAGGCGAGCATACGTCTTCACTACACCTGCGTGGGCGTATTGCGGATCCGCGTGAAAGGAGGCACAGACGTCAGAACGTAGGTGGCGAGGTATTATCAGCAACCATTTGCGGCCATCAGATAGGTAGTTTCGCCGGTACAGAAGACCGTCACGGATGGTAAAATGGCGAGCAGTTCGTCGAAGTAAACGGTTGTCGGTTCGTAGAGACGTCTGAGACAGGTACTCTAAGAGAGACGCTATCCATGGATCCTGGCGTTGCTCAGCGGACATGTCGGCCTGTTCAAGTGAAGAACATTCGCAGCTGGAAACAGACGCTGCAACATAACCGTGGGGAAGTGGCGAGCGAGAAAGAGCGTCGGCGTCCGAATGCTTGCGGCCTGACCGATAAATTACACGAATATCGTAATCTTGGAGACGTAGTGCCCAGCGAGCTAGGCGACCAGATGGGTCTTTTAATGACGACAACCAACACAATGCGTGGTGATCAGTCACGACGTCAAATGGGCGGCCATATTTGTAAGGTCGGAATTTTTTGATTGCCCAAAGAATGGCAAGGCATTCTTTCTCGGTGACTGAATAGTTCTTTTCCGCTTTAGTGAGGGTGCGACTAGCGTAGAACATGACATACTCATCGAAGCCAGATTTACGCTTAGCAAGAATAGCGCCGAGGCCAACTCCACTAGTGTCCGTATGGATTTCGGTTGGAGCGTCTGGATCAAAGTGGCGTAGGATAGGTGGTGATGTCAGAAGATGGCGTAAAGACGCAAATGCTTCGTCGCATGCTGGAAACCACGCCGAGAGGTCTTGGTTGTTGGCAAGTAGCAGCATCAGGGGTGCGATTATGGTGGCGAAATTGCGCCCAAAACGGCGAAAATATGAGCAGACCCCGATGAAGCTGCGGAGTTCTTTTAGTGTAGTTGGCCTGGGAAAGTCGGCGACAGCGCGAAGCTTGGCTGGATCAGGACGGACATCATGCTTGCTAACAACATGCCCTAAGATGGTAAGCTGGCGGGCAGCGAAGTGGCATTTCTTCAAATTCAGCTGCAGTCTAGCGTTCGAAAGACAAGTCGGGACGCTTGCTAGACGGCTGAGGTGGGAGTTGAAGTCCTTCGAAAAAACGACGACGTCATCCAAATAGCACAGGCATGTGTTCCATTTGAAGCCTCTAAAAATTTTGTCCATGAGACGCTCGAAGGTGGGAGGCGCATTACAGAGGCCGAATGGCATGACGTCAAACTTGTACAATCCGTCAGGCGTTACAAACGCAGACTTGGAGCAGTCGGCTTCATTCATAGGGACCTGCCAGTAGCCGGATCGAAGATCTAAAGAAGAAAAGAACTCTGCTCTTTGCAGGCAATCGAGGGAGTCATCGATTCTGGGCAGCGGATAAACATCTTTTCTGGTAATCTTGTTAAGATGCCTGTAATCAACGCAAATTCTGATGCCGCCGTCCTTTTTTTTTTCACTTTTTTTTTCACCAGAACGAAGATAGCTGTGGTGGCTCTGGGCGGTGGGAGTCGTAAGTCGCCTCACCAGCAGTTGGGTTGTAATCCCGACGACGGCAGTAGCGTGCTACATGACCAGGAAGCTGGCAGAAATAGCAAATTGGCCTATTGTCTGGAGTGCGCCAAGGGTTTGTTGATGGTGGTGTGGGGTGGCGAACAGGAGGTTGGTGGCGACGGGTAGAAGGACTTGCTGCGTTGAGGGGACGGGGCTGTCTAGCAAGATCCATGACGGTTGGTAGCGACGGCAGCGATCGTCTGGCGGCCTCAGCGTAAGTGAGAGGGGCGGAGATAGGCTGAGGATTATATGTTGGAGACAGGGCGTCAGAAACTTGATCTTCGATTGCCTTGCGGAGCGTTGGGGTCAGCATGTGCTCACTGGTCGGCACGTACAGCACAAGAGACAATTGACGCGAAACTTCTTCTCGGACAAACTGCTGGATTTGCTGCATTAACGTAGCTTGTTCGGAGGAAACGGCGCCAATGGTTAACCCAGATGTAGAGGTCGTGTCGAGGTTTGGACGTCGAGTAGAAATCCGCTCTCTCCGCAGCTCGTCGAAACTCTGACAGTGCTGAATAAGCTGGGCGACGGTTTGCGGGTTTTTCGCAACGAGCATGTGAAAGGCATCGTCCTCGATACCTTTCATGATGTGCCGCATTTTGTCAGTGTCAGACATTTCTGAATCGATACGATGGCAGAGGTCCAAAACATCCACAATATACGAGGTAACGGTCTCGCCTGAGCCCTGTGCACGGCAGCGCAGGCGCTCTTCGGCGCGGAGCTTGCGAACAGCGGGTCGGCCAAAGATTTCTGCGAAGCACGTCTTGAAGGTAGGCCAAGAGGGTATTTCCGCTTTGTGGTTGTTAAACCACCGTTCTGCCACACCCGCGAGATAGAAATTGAGGTAAGCGCGCTTGTCTGTGTCATCCCACTTATTGTGGGCGCTTACCGCTTCATACTGCGAAAGCCAGTCTTCGGCGTCTTGGTCGTCGGTCGCGTTGAAAATCACTGGATCTCGCTGTCGTGGCATTCCGGAACAGGTGACAGATAGGATTATCACTGCAGGGGGCTGAGTCATGTTGTCAGGCATTGACGAGGCGAGAGGCTGAGGTAGAGTCTGGGAACGGAGTTCCAGTTTGAGGCAACCAGCACTCTCCACCAAATGTAAGAATACTGCTAGACGCACGCCGGGGTAGAGCCGTTTATTGGGCCTAACAGCACCGAGACAGCAACCAGCGGTTTCAGCAGCAGCTGCAGCAGCACGAGCCTCCGCCACAACAAACGTCTTCTTCGTCGTTCTTAGAGCCCATATTTGTCACTACAGTTTTTTTACATCCCTCCCTCTTCTGAAAGACTTAGTGGTGCACTATGGCCGCGGCATGAGGCTGTGTTCAAAGTGAACTTCTTTCTTTTTTTTTTTTTTGCCTAGAAGGGGTTGTGTTGGGGGAACGACTTATAATCAGAGTCTACTTATAATCGGCAATATACGGTACTTTGTTCGAAGCCATTTTGGCAGACGCAAACCAGAACAGACGTTACTATCTCGTGCTGTGTGTGTGGTTGTCTTCTCCTCGCTGAATTCTTCTGGCACGTGCTGCCATGCCAGAATTATAACCGATAGATTGTTGTGTCTGGCATCATTATAAGTGGGTTCAACTGTATAAAGTTTGCAATTAACAAAGTGGAACATTCCATTTATGTTTCATGCAATAATATTCCATTCATGCATGAAATAATAACGCAGTTCTTTACTGTGAAATGAGTGTTTGGGGTTAGCTCTGCCTTCACTCCCCCTTTTGTTTCATTTGAGCGTTTATTTCCCGAACTTTCGTACCGAACCTGCATAAAACGAAAACCTCTTTATAACAAACTTTTCCAGGAATTCATCGATTTCGTTATATCCAGCTTTAACTGTATCAGCGTCGAATGAAAGCCGAACAGTGGCGAGCCTACACGATAATATAGTGCGCACCGTCCAGTTATCACGATTGACAGGCGCGTGCATCCTGTTCGGCAGCTCTGCGCATACATGCGTGCCTGTCTATGGCGATAAGTGGACAGCGCGCGCTATACCACCATGAAAGCTTGCTGCTGTTCGCGTTTTATTTGACGCAGATAGTACTGTACTTTACTCGACTTCTACCGCGCCCTCGACTGTAACGCGCACCAGGTTTCCACGACGAAAAAAAAAAAGTAAGACATCGATTGCAACGCGTACCCATTTTTTCATTGGCCCACACGATCACACCACTTGAAAAAACGACTCCTTTCGGGAGCGTCTTCCACTTAAATATGAGGTATGGGAGAAGCTTGTGCCCATCTTACGTGTAACAGAGCATTGCCGTCACTGTAATTTTACCGTGGACCGATGTCAGCACGCGAACTTGCTTCGCCCTCCTTCTTTTCGACGGTTGTGGTGCCAGGCATGTCGAAGTAAAGAGGCGTCTGATCGGCATTCCCGATTTGCCCAAGCAGGTAGCCGTTGTTGTGCCGCAAGTTTAGGACGAACCTCTAAATACTGTGAAGCTTTTCATCGTACTCCTCCGGAAACTTTTCGCATATGCTCGTTCGCCATCGGAGGGAAAAGCCTTTCCTCTTCAAAACGTTAGTTAGCAAGCACCTGCTCGCTTTAAACTGGCTCTGCATTAGCCCTTTTTCTAAGGCTAACTGCATAGCCCGCACTAGGAGCACTTCTGTCGTCATGGGCCGCTGTCCCGCTCGCTGTTCAAGCACATACTCGCCGAGCAGCTCTTCAATTTGCGGAAACCGACCCTGCTGTGGTCCATTGAAGTCTTTGCGTGAAGCTTTGCTGTCTACAATCTTGTGCTTTTGTTCCCGCCAGCCCCGCACACACGTTTCGGGAACTCCGAACGACCGCGATGCGGCCTGATTTCCGTCCATTTCTGCACACGCGATGACTTTTCTTTTAAAAGCGGCATCGTGGTGCACTCAAGTTTTTGGAGTCGGCTCTTCCATGCCGTCGATGCAAATTCACTACAAGATGACGAACTCCTCAGTACACGTACGAAGTGCCGCACATGGGAAACACATAAACAGAAACGGCCGACGCACCATGCCGACCCGCGTAGGGGTCGGCTATTTTGAAGATGCCGATGGCAATAGAATGACCGTATTCATTTTTTTTTTTCGTACTCGATTCTAACACGCATGCGATTTATGAACTCGCTTAATCGGAAAAAAGGTGCGCGTTAGATTCGAGTAGTTACGGTACACTTCGTTGATGCTGTGGGTGACAATCATTACTGTGACGAAGTATGGCACAAAGTTTCATAAAAGTTGTGAAGCTTTTATGCACTCATTGTGCAATTCACACTGTGTGACGCCTGGTGTGATTTGCCTGTTTTACCCCATAATAGTACAGTGAATGACGTGACCTTTCACTCAACATAATGCCTGTACAGAAACTTTTTCTGATAAATTCCAAGCACTGGCGTGGCTCTGTGGCCCTACAACACTCAATTGCCACACAGAGCACTGTGTTCCAATACCTGTTTTCCAATACCAATTCAATATTTTTTTCTCATCACGCACTATAGCTGCACAAACTTCAGTGGTGGGTGACAACTTCACCAGAAGCGACTGCTGTTGTGAGCACTTTACAGCTTACGCCGTAAAACACTGCCAGACATAAAGATAAGCTGTATACTACTGAGCATGGCACACACACACACATGACCACACATACAGTGGATGCCTCTTAAACGAAACTCGAAAGAGCAAAGAAAATTTGTTCCATTTATGAGAAGTTTCATTTAAACAAAGGCCACAAAATAAATTAAATATGACTTTATTTCAAGAGCACCAACTGTGGCTGACCGAACAAAAGCATTTTGAAATATACAATACTACTATAGTCTTTTTAAAACAGCTCAGATCGCTCACCCACAAGTGCTCGATCCCCATGCGATTAGCAATCTCTTTGGCCTTCTCTTCGAAAATGGGGTTGCTGATCAGGAAGTTTGCACTGTGCACACACTTGAATCAGAGAAAAAAAGCATCTTCAATGTATTTTTTCGCCGCCATTTTCATCTGCATTTTGTCCGTGGCGAAGTTTCCAAGCTTTACAGCTTCTTCAATCTTCCCTTTGTTCTTGAGTATCCTCAACAGTGTGGACTTGGGAATATTGAACTTCGCCCCGCCGCGGTGGTCTTGTGGCTAAGGTACTCGGCTCCTGACTCGCAGGTCGCGGGATCGAATCCCGGCTGCGGCGGCTGCATTTCCGATGGAGGTGGTAATGTTGTATGCCCGTGTGCTCAGATTTGGGTGCATGTTAAAGAACCCCAGGTGGTCAAAATTTCTGGAGCCCTCCACTACGGCATCTCTCATAATCATATGGTAGTTTTGGGATGTTAAACCCCACATATCAATCAATATTGAACTTGTTCCCAGTTTCCGTCTTCGATAGGTCGTAGCAGTCAGGTTCTTGAATGATTTTTGCTTTCGTTGCGAGCCAAAGTGCATTGTGCTGCCGTTTTTTTGTTTCCATCTCAAGTTCACGATGAGATGGAAACAAAAAAAGATGGAAACCAGCTGGATCGTTTGCTGCTCGGTGTGCGCGGACATGTGCAATCGCTGGATTGGCTTGGCTAGGCTAGTTTCGGCATTTGTTTCATGGTTGCTAGACTGCCGTGGCCATTTCCGACATACATAAATTTTGCTCACTTTAGTTTCATTTAACCGATGTAAGCGAAAAAAATTTACGATTACCCGAAACTTTTTATTATTAAATATATAGACCAACCAAATGTGCTTAGATAGTTTCATTTGTGCGGCTTTTTCGTTTAAGCAAGTTTCGTTTAATGGGAGTCCACTGTAGTTTACCCATTTGGTACATCGCATCAGTGGCCCAACTTTCATTTGCACTCTCTCTTTCAACACTACTTCATATTTACATATAATCAAACATATATGCATGAAAGAGTTAGCCTCGCTGGGTGAAAATACAGCCAACGGGCACTCACATCCAGCTGCTCCTGATGTGTGATGTTAGTGGACACTCCTGGGACCCCAGCCTGCTTGTGAGCCCGTGGTGCCAACCCCATGGGGACCACGAATACATGTTGGTCGGTGCCAGTGCCCGAGCTGGCCGTCGCCCCGTCGGCTGCATTTTCCAGCACCTGCGCCTGCTGTACCTGCTGCAACGTGGGCCGCTGTGTCGTGCGTGTAGACGGGCTACGACCCAGGGCGCGACTTGCCGTGCTTTTGCCCGAGGGCGGGGTGCCTCCGACGTTTGCGGCACCACGTGCTCCGCCGGATGCACCGCCACTTTTACCAGAAGGAGGTGTGCCACCTGCACTCGCAATGCCCCGCCCTCCTCCTGCTCCAGTGCCGCTGCCACATCTGCCAGCAGGTGGCGACAGGGGACCCTAGGCAAAAAGGAAAGTGTGAACGCTTTGGCCTCAGAAATTTAGTTAACCCAAATTCCAAGTCTTGATATCATAAAAATCCCGATAATATAAAATTCTCGGTATAATGAAGCATTGCGATTTTCGCAACATGATGTTCATAAAACACCATGCATTCTGAACCTCAATATGCCAATATGCGTTATCCGTGATTTGAATGCGAGGAAGTTTCAATGTTGTTACAAAGGAAGACCGTTGCGATAAACTGAGTGGTCGTATGGCTGAGTGGCCCCCAGTTTTCAGAGTAAAAGTGATCGACACAAAGAAAAACGGCCTGCCTGAACACTGAGAGCTAGCAAATAATGGACCCACAAAAATTTACAGCAGTGTCGTATAGTACTGTGGCAGATGCTGGTGTGGCTGCCAGTGTATCCCCGCATGACATACTGACAGCATACAGAAATATATCAATGGTTGTGTCCTATAGATTAAACTGAATAAGAACAGACCAAGGCTACTACCACATGCACTTGTCATCAAAATGCACGCACACAGGAGCAATACTAGAATGCACCAAAACCCCATAGGGTCTGAGTGAACACATTTCGTGACAGAGACTCAAGTTCATCACATGCACTGATGTAGCATTTTGCCCCTTCACATCATCGCCGTCGGTGTAGCTTGCAATGCTTTTAGCTAGACAACAGATGATAAAAAGTGCCGAGGGTGTGTGACTAATGCCAGCAACTCTACTCTGAATTGACAAATTTGAGAAATTTTTGTCACAATTGACTTGTCAGTCGGTGAGCTTTGACAATTAGGCCAGTGAATGATTACCTGGAAAAGTGATTAACGACCTCTAAAGAATGAACTAAAATCAACGCTGGAGCAGAAATATAACAGATACCACATGTACAGCACGTATAATTCATAGAAGCTGCTCACCTGCTTATTCTTCTCAGCAAACATGACTGTTGCAAGGCTGAGCAATTTTTTAAGCATAGTTGTGCACTCGAGGCTGATCTTGGACTTTTTGTCAACTTTTTGCTCCACAGGACAAAAATCGTAATGAAGAATTATCTTGCTCGGGCAGCCCATCTGAAAGAGAAGAAAACACATTCAGCTTAGCCCATGCAAGCCCAGAACTGCATGTACTGTAGCATATTTTAGAGCTGATGCAATGGAAAATATTTAGAGACGAAAGTGCCAGAGTTGCATGTAGTCAGTTTACTCGCCATGATATCGTATACCACGACAAAGCAGATTTCGGACACTGCAAGCAAGGTCACTAACTTTCTAGGCATCTCTTCACTGGCAGAAGCGGCAGTGAGGAAAAAAAAAGGATAGGTGGCAGCATGAAAACTTGCAGTCAGCTTTATGACACCGATCTGACACCTAACGACCGCCGACGGTGAACCGAAGAACGCCTTTGAATGCGATAAGCCACAAATGCCAGAAGCGATCACTTTTTGTCGCACAGGAAGTTCTCTGCGACCCTTAATTTACCAACACCAATATGTGCCACAAAGGTCTTCCAACCATTTGGTAATGGCAAGAGCTCGTCGATGAATGATAACGATTGCCGCAGAAATGTGGCGGTGCCTTCACAGATAAGCATCAGAAAATATCGAAGATGAGGTGGTGGGTGGCGATGAACGTGCCAATTTGACTCATCGCTAACAATCTTATGAGAGTATCTGCAGATATCTGTTTGGCTGCACGTGTTTAAGCCGCATGAAGCAACTATGGTTCAAGTACTTCATGCTGCCATTTGCAAGATTGCCACACTGTGGAAGGCCGCTTGTGCGCTGCTCACAAAATGAATGTCTTTATCATGTTTAATGAACTACGTGTTTCACACGAGCACAATCTGGAATGAAGAATGCCTGAACACGCACATGTGTGCATACTTTAGAATGCAAACGACCTGGCATGCAACGGTGAGAGCCCAGCAAGCGACAAGCTACCAGCAAATAGGCAGGGATGATTAGATAAATGTGGCAATACCACGCTTCAACGGAATGGTGTGAGTTCATTTCGAACATGGTTTAATTCCTTCATGAACAAAGTGGGTGACACTTAATATACAAAAAGGCCTAACGTCACCACAGGGGTTGTTGGCACTTAAAAAATTACACAGAAAAAAAAAACGGTTCAGTCACTAAGTGCAAGTTTTTAAGCATGAGTCTACAATGTGGGGTCTCAAAATGGCAAGCGAGCGCCACGCCACGCTCTTAAGAGTGAAAGGACGCAGCACAAACAGTCGCAACAAACCAAACGATACACACACACACATTTATTTAACTAATTTTAGAATGACGATATCGTCAGCAGAATTATAACATCAATTGTGACCAGCATGCTAAGACATCCTTACACAATATTACCATACACTTCAAGACATGACAAACACAATAACACACCCAAGGCGGTACCGCCAAGTCTTGACTTACCACAAGAGCCCCCGCGGTGCCACGCACTGGGGACCCACTCTAGAGACAATTGTTCGTGGCAACCGCCATGCGCAGAGGAGCCCAGCTTATTTCTCACTCGCCGCTACCAAGGCTTGTCACCGCTAGCGCTATACCATGATGATGATGCTAGTGGTGATTAACGCTCGCGAACACAACACCACCTACCACCCGGTAGTTGTAACCCGAAATGTGGCTTTTGGGCAAGACACATGCACAATGCAGCCCAAACAACTTTACAGAGGGTGTCAGCACCTCCACAACAAACAACAAACTATAGATATAATCACCACTTATTGCGACACGTTTGAGTTCATCATGAGCAGGTCCAACTATATATGGCATAATCATCAACCAACTAGGCCACCAGTACAATTTAAAACCAATCAAAACTTCCCGAGAGCCAGTGCATATTTCTATACAGTCGCCGACCGATAAATCAGACACTGATAATTCAGACATGCTCGGTAATTCGAACTATAGAGTTTCCTAAAATTAACAAGAGGAGACTCTGGTGCAGCAATCATTCAGCAACCATGGGAATGATGGGTAGTACACGGACTTGCCTAGTCTTTGTACTTGCGGGCGGCAAATCACACTTGTGGCTTCGTTTATTGCTTTGTTTTGGTTTTGTTTCAAAAGAAAGCATAAACCCTTTTGAACTCCGTGACCCCATTTGAAATGGTAAGCCAAAATATTATTGTGATGAAGCGCAATGACTGAACATTTGCCGAATGTTGTTCTATGACAAAGCAGCTTCAAGCCATGTGAAGCCAAAAGGAACGTAAAGTACGAAGACTAGTCAAATCCGTGTACTACCCATAATTCCCATGCTCGCTGAAGCGCCATGTGTTGCAGCTCCCATAGACACTAGCGCAAGAGTTCCCTTTTAGTGTATATACAGGAAACTATATGTTACGAGAAGGAGACCGACTCGGAGGGGTAGTCACCGATGTATTTACAGCCGGTTAGACGAGCAGCACCAGCCACACAGATTAGCTCGCGCCTGTCTATCTGCTTTGTCTTCTTCAACTACATGCACTGGCACGTAGCATGACCCCCTGCGGCGGAGGCACCGTCCCGGTGCTTTAAAGGTCGTTACCTGACGCATTCTTGTAGGGCTTGATCCGCGAGACGTGTATAATATCACTGGACCGCAAAGTAGATGATGATGAATAGATGGGGCTGATCTCGTAGGTGACAGGTGTTACTTGACGCAATATACGGTAGGGTCCCGTGTAGTGAGACAGAAGTTTTTCTGATAGGCCCAGCCGACGATGAGGGGACCAGAGTAAAACGAGGGTACCGGGAGCGAAATGTACATCTCTATGTTCCACATCGTACCGACGGCATTGGTTGGTTTGCGACGCCATCAGCCGAGCGCGAGCGAGCTGACGTGCATGATCGGCTCACGCAATCGCGTCGCGGACATACTAGCTTGTGGACGAGGTGTGAGCTGAGATGACTGTGTCCAGTGGTAAAGTCGGCTCCCTTCCGTACAATAAGTAGAACGACGAAAAGCCCGCTGTGTCGTGACGGGATGAATTATACGCGAAAGATGTGTAGGGTAAGGCAAGGTCCCAGTCTCAGTGGTCGGGCGACACGTACATAGCGAGCATATTTGTTAAAGTGTGGTTAAATCGTTCCGTGAGGCCGTTTGTTTGAGGGTGGTAAGCGGTTGTCAGTGTGTGTTGCGTGGAACAAGAACGCAGAATGTCGGCGATGACTTGGGATAGAAATGTATGGCCACAGTCTGTGAGAAGCTGTCTCGGAGCACCGTGAATCAATATAACATCCCGTAACAAGACGTCAGCGACATCAATTGCACAGCTGGTCGGTAGAGCTCGCGTAATAGCGTAGCATGTAGCGTAGTCTGTAATAACGGCTATCTATTTGTTTCCCAATGTTGATGTAGGAAAGGGACCAAGCAGGTCTAACCCAACACGGTAAAATGGTTCCGCGGGTTTGTCAATTGGTTGAAGATGGCCAGCGGGTAGCAGTGACGGTGTGTTACGACGTTGGAATAGGTCACACGTGGCGACGTATCGACGTACCGAGCAAGCAAGGCCTGGCCAGAAGAAACGGCGCCGGACACACACGTACGTGCGGGATACGCCAAGGTGTCCAGCCGTGGGAGCGTCGTAAAGCTCGGCGAGAACACAGCGGCGCAAATGCTTAGGCACAACAATGAGAAAGTCGGGCCCGTCTGGTCGGAAATCGCGACGGTATAGCACACTTTTTTGAATGACAAAATAGTGGACGGAGGCACCATTTGGGGAGGATTTCAAACGGCTGATGATGTCAAGCAGCTCTGGACCACGCTTCTGTTCTTCCCCAATATTAAGGAAGTCGGACACTGACAAGATAGAGTTATCCGTGGGCTCATCAGTGTCCTCAGGATCGTCGACAGGGTACCGGGAGAGGCAATCGGCATCATGGTGTAGGCGGCCAGATTTGTAGACCACCGAATAGGAAAACTCTTGCAGGCGCAAAGCTCAGAGACCAAGGCGGCCTGATGGATTTTTCAGAGAGTTGAGCCAGCAGAGTGCGTAGTGGTCGGTAACTACCGAAAATGGGTGTCCGTATAAATAAGGTCGAAATTTCGCCACCGCCCATACAAGAGCCAAGCACTCACGCTCTGTGATCATTCAGTTACGTTCAGGGGCGGATAGGAGGCGGCTAGCATATGCAATAACTCAATCATGGCCATGTTGTTTCTGAGCCAGCACTGCACCAATGCCATGTCCACTTGCATCTGTATGGATTTCCATAGGGGCAGCAGGGTTGAAGTGTGCCAGAATCGGAGGAGTAGTGAGAAGAGCGACGAGAGTCGAGAACGCAGAAGCCTCTTCGGAGCCCCATGAAAATGGGACTTCTTTCTTGAGGAGCTGCGTAAGCGGCCTCGCTATATGCGCAAAAGTTTTCACGAAGCGTCGGAAGTAGGAGCATAGTCCGATAAAGCTGCGTACATCCTTCGCAGATCATGGTACAGGAAAGTTTTTGACGCCGCTGATTTTCGCCGGTTTGGTTGTACACCGTTGGCGTTTACTAAATGGCCAAGCACTGTGATTTGATGGCGTCCAAAGTGACATTTGGACGAGTTGAGCTGCAGGCCAGCGCGACGGAAGATTCCCAGGATGGCTGAGAGGCGCTCTATACGAGTTTCAAATGTTGGTGAAAAGGCGATGACGTCGTCCAAGTAGCACAAACAGGTGCACCATTTGAATCCTCTGAGCAGGGAGTCCATCATTTGTTCGAAGGTGGCTGGAGCGTTACAAAGGCCAAAGGGCATGACCTTGAACTGATATAGGCCATCGGGGGTGATGAATGCCGTCTTTTCACGGTCCATTTCATCTACCTCTATCTGCCAGTAGCCCGAACGAAGGTCTATGGAGGAAAAATAGTGGGACCCATAGAGGCAATCAAGCGCATCATCTATTCGTGGCAGAGGGTAGACGTCTTTTTTGGTAATTTTGTTTAGGTGTCGATAATCCACGCAGAAACACCATGCACCGTCTTTCTTGCGGACTAGCACTACAGGAGAAGCCCAAGGACTGCAGGATAGCTCAATGATGTCCTTGGCGAGCATTTTGTCGACCTCACTTTGGCTAATGTGACGCTCGGCCGCCGACACCCGATATGGACACCTATGAATAGGATGCTCATTACCAGTGTTTATGCGGTGGCTCATACCGGTAGCTTTCCCTAACGGACGGCCGCTGATGTCAATAACATCGATGTAGGACAGCAGAACCCGGTGGAGCTCATCAGTTTGCTGTGGCATTAAGTTGGAAGCGATCATCGACGTAATAGCGCTGTCGGAGCAAGTGGCAGATTGATGTTGAGCGTGAGGGTCAGAAGGAGCGGCCATCGCGAAAACATCTACCGCATTGTCTTCTAAGGAGCAGAGCAATGCCGAAGAGATCCCTTAAGGCAGAACTTGAGGTGTCAAGCTAAAGTTGACAACTGGGAGGCACGTAGCATTTCCTACAACGGACAGAATGGTGTGCAGTAATGTAATGCCACGGTTTATGAGCACATCGGTGATAGGGGTCAGAACATAGTTACCGTCGGGAACTGGTGGTATTGAAATGAGCTCTATGTAGGTAAGTGTCTGTGGAGGGAGGGGCACGTGTCCCGTTGTGCAGAGGCGACTCTGCCGTTGTGCAAGAGGTTCTGTTGCGGGCAAGTGTAGACGGAGCGTACTGGTTGAACAGTCTACGAGGGCAGAATGCACGGACAGAAAGTCGAGGCCTAAGATTACGTGAGGGCATTTATCAAGAACGGTGAAGAGAACAACTGTGTGTCGATCCACAACGCTCACACGAGCGGAGCACATTCCAACGATAGATGCTCCACCATCTGCAACACGAACAAACTGAGTGGTCGCAGGCGTGAGAACCTTCTTGAGCTTGCGGCGAAAATCACTCGTCATCACGGAAAGTTGAGCGCCGGTGTCGACAAGAGCAGTGATATGTACGCCGTCTACTTGTACGTCTATGAGGTTCCGTTTTGTCGGTATCGTCAAAAGAGGATTTTTGGTCAGTCCAAGCGATGCAGCGCCATCTCCGGGGGCTGCAACACTTAGTTTTCCGTCGGGGAACCTCGTGGGAAGGCGGGGGAAGATGGTCGGCTGGGCTGTGGAGAACGAGACTGGCGACGCTGGGGGGATGGAGAGCGGGAGTAGCGGTGTTCAGAAGCAGGTTCCTGGGCAAAATGGTCGCGGCTGGTCTCATGGCGATAGGCAGAACGTGCATAGAAGGGACGAGAGGACGATTGTGCAGGAGGACCCCAGCGACTTCTGCAATGGCGAGAAATGTGCCCAATTCTGTGACACGAGAAGCAGATCGACTTGTCATCATGTGTTCGCCATGCGGACGAATTACGGAACGTTGAGGGAGAACTGGTCGGGAAGGGGCGTGCAGGCGTGTATTGGGGCTGGTAGTCGGTGCGGGGAAGCGGTGAGATAGAGTGAATTCCCAAGCTGGCGATTTCCTGCCGGATGACTGCTTGAATGAGAGGCAACGTAATTGGAGGAGAGGGGTCAGGGGACGTTGGTCCCACCTTAACTGGAGCAGCTGCTTCAAGTTCCCACCTGACGATTCGCGTCAAGTTGTCACAAGTGTCTGGTGGATGATATTTGTCGAGACATGAGGACGTCGCAGTGGTGTTCGTGAGGCGCTGGAACTGATGGAAGATGCGTCTGCTTTTAGCTTGTTGGAACCGGCAGCATTCTTGAATGATCGCATCAACAGATGACACATTGTTGAATACCAACAAGTTGAACGCATCGTCGGCGATACTCTTTAGGATATGCGCAACTTTTTTAGGTTCGGACATGTTTTCGTCAGCTCGGCGGCATAGTGAGAGGGCAGCCTGAATGTAACCGATGTAGGGCTCCGTGGAAGATTGTGCGCGAGTCGACAACTCATTTTTCGCAGCTTCATGACAACCAGAGATGTTGCCAAAAAGCTCAGGGATCTTTTCTTTGAAGCTGTCCCAGCTTGTTATGTCATGCTCGTGGTTGACAAACCAAACACGAGGGGTTCCGTCGAGATAAAAGATGACGTTTGCGAGCATAAGAGTGGGATCCCACCTTTAAGTGGCGCTGACGCGTTCGTAGAGGCGTAGCCACTGGTCGACGTCGGAACTCTCGCTGCCCGAGAACACGCCGGGGTCTTTGAGCGTGGGAAGCGTCACGAAAGTTGTTGCGGGCACTGGGTCGGCAGGCCGGGCAGAAGGGCGGGCGACCGGAGAGGATGTAGCCGTCTTGAGTGGTTATGTTGTAAGCCGCAAGGGAGCGTCCGCTTCGGAGTTCTGTGGCGAGGAGGACGGGGATCGCACAACTCCACCAAATATGTTTCGAGAAGGAGACCGACTCGGAGGGGTAGTCACCGTTGTATTAACAGGCGGTTAGGCGAGCAGCGCCAACCACACAGATTAGCTTGCACCAGTCTATCTGCTTTGTCTTCAACTCCATGCACTGGCACGTAGCAATATGATTGGGACAGCCGCGCGACACCACCGATTGAACTATAGAAATACATAATGTATAAAGACGACCAATATTTCGGACTGCCGCCAGATCTGCCTTCGATAATCCGAACTATGTTCGAACATGGCGCACACTTCGAATCGGCAGCCACCATTATCTCCTCTGGTACCCATACCACACAAAGTATGGCCTCAGAGATTAAAAAAATGAAAGCCAACTGGTGATCTGTGAGGCTTAACTTCGATTGCCTCACAGCTTTATAATAGGAAATACCAATCTTGGAGGCACTGCTGAACTGTGGGAGGTCGTATCGACATCACGAACATCCTATATTTCGGTTTCGGTATCCCCGCACTGTTATGGCACTGTACTGCTATCAGCGCCATTCTGTCATATGTATCTGCGGTAGAGCATTCTGCTGAATTCTGTGTACGTTCTGTTTGGTCTGTTTGGTGTGAAGACCTGCTTTATTTTGCACTCTGCTGTCCTAAATAATCTGCGTTAAATGGCACCAACGGTGCCTTCGGAACCAGCGCCGCCGCCGCTGAAACGTGACAGACACACACAACGCTAACCATGGCAAGGAAAGCTGCCATCATTCTGCAAGTGCTCAGTAGTTGCCCGTAAGTCGAAGTTGCCCGAGAGTTCTACGTTTCGGGAGTTGAAGAACCCGACACTGCAACTGAAGAGCCGGACCTGCCACCCAGCACAATTAGCTCAAGTGCAGACGTAATTGATGACCTGCGTGCTGTGGTGTGCCGATTCCCGACTCAGTTACCTTTGAAGACTTCCCAAGCATCGACAGTGCCGTGTCATCGTACGTCGAAGTGAACGACGATGACATAACTGAGCAGGTTCTGCAACCGCCAAACAGTGATTCTGACTCTAGTGATGAGGACACATCGTGTGCTCCGGAGCCGTTGCATGTGTACTTGTCTCAAGCTCTCGCAATTCTTTCGTCGTCCTACCTGTGGTCCTACAGCGAGCATAGCACACTGGCAGAAATAAAGACAGACGTGGTTGTACGTTGCACCTAAGTGCAAGAGCATGCAGAAACGCATTGACAGCTTTTTCTGGCCACTAAATCACTGAAGCGTCCCTAAAAGTATTTTTTTCTGATGCATTCGTTTTATCAAACATTCTATAATTTGGACATCTGTAGGTTCCTCGTAGAGTCCGAACTATTGGTCGTTGACTGTAAGTAACACCACTACCAGCACATAAAAATACAAGCAAGCTTGCAATTAAATGCACTCGCCATGAGGTAGAGTTCGCCAATGGTCATCAAACCAGCCTCCTGTGCCGTCCATCCCTTAGTACTGCGCTCGCGGGCGTTCTCTTCCTCTTCCTTTCTCTTGGCCTCCTCCTCCAGCTCCTGCTGACTTTTCTTCTCCTCCTGCTCTTCTTCCTCCCTCTTCTTCCTTTTGGTCTCCTCTGCAGCCTCATCCTCTTCCTCTTCGCCGCCCTGGCGAGCTTCCTCAGCGGCCTTGCCCAGAAGCTGGCCCAGCGTAAGGCCGCCTGCAACCGCACTGCCATCTGCCAGGATGCTCTCCACACTCTCGATGACAGCCGGCATCGGGGCCGGCGCAACTGGCACCGGTGAAGATGCAGGATCGGGAGCGGCCGATTTCTGTGCAGCCGGCACGGTGCTCGTCGTCGTCGTCGCTGGGGGGTCGGGTTCAAGCATGCTGCGTAGCAGGGTCAACGACTTTGCAGCCTCGTCTTCTGGATTCTCCTCCACCTGTCCCGCAGGTGGTGGCGGGGAGGACGGAACGCTGCTGCCCTGTGAGGTCTCACCACCAGTGCTACCTGCGAACACAACAACGTTATCTCACCGACAGCAAACGAAGCACTGAGACGCGTTTTCGAAGTTGTAGGAGCTCTACCACACATTTCCTACAAATAAGTGGTTGATACATCGCTGGTATAAAGGTTTTGCAACAACTAAAGGTGTTTTAATTTGATGTTGACATTGTCCCGATGCTAGACTGATCAACATTATTGTGACACTATAACACTCAGCGAAATTCGCTTACATGCAGCAATTGGGCAAGCAAAATGGTGTCTTCTACAAAAAAAAATAAAGAAACTAAGACCTATGCACTCATTTTTTCGGGGCTGTACTCATATTACTACTTAAGGCGAGATGCTAGTTGAAGACACTTTTTTTTTAATATTCACCCTAGAGCAATGAAACTTGAGCTGTTTATGGAACTTTTTACGCTGATTTCAAATATATTGGTTTCCTTGCAAGTTGCACACTTTTAGATCTGCAACATGACAAAGTGAAAACCTTAACCCTTTTGCCAGCCCTCTTTTCATCCCTAAACTTCTGCAATTTTTTACTATTCATAGTTCATAATGTTTCAAATAAAGTGTAGAATGAAAATAACTAATTAGAAAGCACATACAAAATATGCAATATGCGTGAAAAATAATAGACGTAAAAAGTCCACATTTCACCTACCCTAGTAAAGGTTTACATATAACTTTTTGTTATACAGTAAAATATTATAATTGAAACTAGAAAATTGCATTTGTCATACTTTGGAAAAAACTTGAGCAAAATTTCATGCAGATCCGAGCACTGCAAGTGTCTGAAATAGGAGGGGCACATTGGAAAAAATGGTAAAACTTGGGTTTTGAGAAAAATGAGTTTTAAAGTTAGAATCGAATTTTTATTTATGAAACATATAATTAAATCTGATGAAATTTGCACACCAAAAAGAATAATCCTTCTTGTAGTGGCCACTGCGACTAAAGTACGCCAGCCCCATGAGTTTGTCCCTGTTGGCTTTTTCGAGCCGACTCCTCACAGACATTTCGCTCACAGACAGGGCCATGAAACGCTTGCCAAACTTCCGCTCCATCTGGCAGAGCCTTGTGCCAACTGCAAGCTAGGAAGAAGTTCAACAGGACTGCAAAATCCAAACTAAGTCTAGTGTCATGCCATTTTGCAGCCATGTTTGTGCCACATAGCATCGTACATAATGGCAATGTCGTCCCTGCTAAGTTCTCTCACTGCAAGCTCTTTCAACCTCGCAAGATTGGCGCTGACGTCATCTATTGCCGCATCACGAACTTTCCGGCTGACGGGTGTGAATAACTTTTGATGCATTGGCTTTTGCAAGCCAACAAATTAGCTGCCGCAAATCGGACCAGCTGCTTGTAGCCTATTCCTACAGAGCACGCCACACAATGGCTTTCACTTGCGAGCAATTCCTTTTTTCATTCATAACGGAGATAATTACACGACAAAAGCATTGTTCAGCTGCGCTGCTCGACAAAACATGGACCCCACAAACAAGTTTCACAGCACATACAGGTGCGCAGCGGCCAATGGCGGTCCCCGATCCGTACCATGTGATAATCCAGTCGTAGCGCTCCGAAAAATGCGCAGAAGTGTGCTTCTTCTTATTATTTCTTGTGCTGCATCAACGAGAGAAACTGTTGTTAATTGAAGAGTGAGGCTCGATTCTTAGGCTCATGCTATCAACAATGGCGAGCGGCAGAGCATTATCGGCGGCAAGGTGCTCGAAGACAGCACACTTGGACCTTTTAACATGCACCTTGTGCTCTTTAGATGCAATTTTTAAGCATTTCCAGTTAAGTCACGACCTGTATTTTTTTTTCATAACAGTAGAGGTACTAATCTTATCAAAACAGGCTAAAGTAAAAATCGGTAATTTTGAAAAAAACTCACGTTTTTCGACACGCATCTCCCTTAAGGGGGGACGCAGCCCTTGAAAACCGAAAAATCGCGAAAAAGTCGGTTTTTGAAAAACCACATTTTTGGGTTGTATGTCTCATAAACTACCTATTCTGTAATTATCAGCACCTAATTCAACCGCAAAGTGCAAAAAAAATACTATTTTCGAGGCCGCTGCGGCGTCCAAAACGGGCGCAAATCCCGAAATCAAACCAAACTTCACGCGCGCGCCATTCCCGGACTATGCGGTCGTCCCGCGCCATCTTGGTGTTGTTTTGACCGTGAATTCTTTCTCTCTCGTTCGCCGCCTTGCAAAATGGCGTCGGCAGCACAGTTGAGACGCTATTGACGTTTTCCCGCGATGCGATGCGGAGCGCTGATTGGCTAGAGCAGCGCATTCATATCTCGCGGGAGAAAGCGTGCCCGCCATTGGCTGCTGTCCAGCAGCGGGGGCGGTCGCTCCTCTCGATGGCGCGTCCAGCGCGCTCGCTTCGTTGTTGCTCTCTGCTCCGTCCGCCTCGATAGACGTCTGCTTACAAGCCGCTCTTCGCCTTGTGCTATCTTTTCGATCATTTTCTCTCGTTTTTTTTTTCTTTTTGCACTAGTTCTGTGCCTTTCGTCTTTGTTGTTGCGGGCGATGCCGGCAACGAAGCCGAAGTCAGTGCGGAAGTCCGGTGCGCGGAGGCGCGCTATGCGGCTTGTATGATCATCGAAATTCCGCTATTCTGCTGCGGGTGCCGACTGCGTAGACGCTTGCAGCGACGGAACTGTGTTGTCGGCTGTCGCCAGTCGAGAATCCGACACATCGAGTGTGGCTGGAGCCAGCAAATGCACCGAGTGTTTCAGAGATCGCCGGGCTCGACACGTGCTCCGAATCGATGCCATCCAGTGTGACACCGAGTGCTTGTGATATCGCCGGACCCAGCACTTCGTCTGAATCGGTGCCATCGAGCGTGACACCGAGTGCTTCTGATATCGCCGGACCCAGCACTTCGTCTGAATCGGTGCCGCCATCGAGCGTGAGCGGACCGTCGCTTCATCTGCGGACGCGTTTCCTAACGAAGGAAGAAATCGATGCGAATAGCGAAACGTCGTGACGCCGTTCGCGCTGAACTCTAGTCTACGCCGGCGACGCAGAAGAAATTTCAACTGATGCAGCTGGCTCTTGCACCTGCAGTGACAAGTGAGGGCGAACATTTTTCGCTCGTTCAAATGAACATCTTTAACGTCGTGCTCAGCCGCACAGTGTGCAAAGAATGTTTGAAAGGTGCTATGACTGTCCGAGAGAGCACCAAGCTTAGACTTGCAACAAAACTTGAAGTCGTGTGCGCCTCTTGTGGCACCGTCAATAAATTATGGACATCACCCCGCAAAAAGGACACGCAGGCCTCCGATGTAAATGTCCGCGCCATAATGGCTATAAAGCAAATTGGCAAGGGGCAAACAGCTCTTAATGACTTTTGGGCTGCCATGAACGTCTCTTACAGAGGTCTTCACCACAAGACGTTTCAAAAGCACTTGAAAGAGACGTTCAGGAAGCCAGAGGCCACCGCTTTGGAGAAGTTTTATGCTGATTCTGCCACAGCAGTGATCAAAACATATAAAGAAATGGACCCCAGCTTCTGCAAGGACATCACCGTAGTGTACGATGGCACATGGCATAAGCGGGGTCACACATCACACATCGGAGTGGGATCGGTAATTGACTTCTTTACAGGTCTCATCTTGGATGCTGTAGTTCTTTCAAACCACTGCCTTGGATGCCAAACAGGGCCCAAACCTGGAGATGCAGCATACGAAAGCTGGCAGAAGCACCACATTTGCCAGAAAAACACAGACGCAAAATCGGGAAGCATGGAAGTGGAGGCAGGCTTGACTCTCTTTGGGCGGTCTGTATCCAAGCATGGCCTGCGGTACACCACTCTTGTGTCCGACGGAGACAGCCGTACCTTCGCTGCCCTCACAGAAGAGAATGTGTACGGGCTAGTGCCAATTGTAAAAGAAGAATGTCTGAACCATGTTCAGAAAAGGATTGGAAGTGCTCTTCGAAACATTGTGCAGAAATGTGATAAGCCACTGAGTGGGAAGGGGAAGCTGACTAAAGCCCTCATTGAAAAGCTGACAGGATATTATGGTTGGGCCCTGAGAAACAATTCAACTGACCTCTGACCTAACAGCCATGCAGCGTGCAGTGATGGCAACATATCACCACGTCACATCGACTGACCAGGACCCTCACCATGAACTTTGCCCAGAGGGGGCTCAATCGTGGTGCCGCCATAGAGCTGCAGAGGCAAAGCGTGAGCCACAGCCAAAACATAAACACAGCCTACTGGACTATGTCGCTGCAGCTATGCTGCCCATCTACGAAAGACTGTCACAAAAGTAGCTTTTTCAGCGCTGCCTGGGAGCGAAGACGCAAAATGCATCAGAATCATTCCACTCCATTCTGTGGTCTCTGATGCCGAAGGAACAACACTCATCCTTGATCGCGGTAGAAACAGCACTGCGTGAAGCAGTGCTGCGCTACAATGCCGGCTGCTGCAAAGCAACCCAAGTGATATTGGACTCCATTGGACTTCAACCAGGTCATCTGGCCATCCAGCGAGCTCGTGAAAAAGACGCTTTACGCCTAAAAAAGAATTCTAAAAGACACCAAGAGAAGATGGAGGCCAGGCAAAAGAAGAAAAGAGTGCTCCAGGACACTTCTAGCTACTGTGCTGGAGCTTTTTGAAGAAAACACGTGTTTTGAACTTTCTCGGCCTGTTTTCTCAGAACGGATTTTTTTGCTAGTTGTGGTGCTGAGGAAAGCAAGAACTCGAAAACCGTTCATCAGATTTGTGTGCCGTTTTTTTTATTCTGTTCCTGAATGACCTTGCAAGGGCGTAACAAGCTCCTTTTTTTGAAAATTGGTGCTGTTAATTTATAATAAACAATTAATTTTTGATGAATCTGGTCATTACTGGTTACATCAAATTCAAAGTTGCGTGAAAATTTGGGGGGGGGGGAATTTAAAAAAACGGCTCTGTAGGGCCCTGGGATAGCTATCAAGGAATGACCACAATGAATTTCAGCTTTCTACTACAGTGCAGTCCACTTATAACGATATCGAGAAAACATAAAAATATGATCGTTATAACCGGTGATCGTTATATCTGGACTGCCGCCAAAAAATCGTCGCCGGACGTACCTTTTGTAGCTCCAGGCTTCATTTCGCTATTTTCACTAATTAATAAATATTGTAGATAGTAGGATGTCAAAAACAAGACTTTATTTCTTACTCCGAAGAACGTATCACGGGTTCGCTGAGGAAGAGAGACTGACCGACGGCGGGGTGGGAGCAGTGGGAGGAAGAAAGCACAGCCAGAGGTACACAGCCGGAATGCCAACGAGGCCCCGCCCCGATGCCGCCGCGCCGCTTTGCTTTTCGCTTTTTTTATTTTCTCTCTCTTTCCCGCTTTCGTTCGGCAAGCTACGAGTAGCTTGCCGTTGTAGAAGGCGGGGAGCCGCGGAGCGCGGCGCTTTGCTTTTCGCATTTTTTTTTTTTTTAAATTCTCTCAGCCTCTCTGCGGTCGATGTGCGGCGAGGCGCAAAACGTGACACAGCTGGCGCCATCTATAGCGCGTCGTGCCAGCTCGCGATGCTCTCCTCGGCTTTTTGAACGGCCGGGATGCGCTGCCGGCGCTGTGCTGCAGTGGCGGCAGATACATACTCGCCTACGCTAACTTTTCGTCTTGTCTCGGCATAGTTCGTTTCAGAGGAACTTATCAATCTAAATGTTACGATTATTCTGAATGAAACATGCCGTCCACGGCAAACTTTTCATCGTTGTATCCGATATGCGGTGGATAACATATCGTTATATATGGTTTTTTTCCCCATAGCCCCAATGCATAAAATGAGACTGTTAAGTCGACCCATCGATATAACCGATATATCGTTATATGTGGTATCGTTATAAGTGGACTGCACTGTATGTCCTGGGATTTCTCACGACTCTTCCTCAGGCACCCATGTGAAGCACCCAGTTAAACCTCAATAACTCTGGAACTAAAAAACACAGCTTCGTGAAACTTAGCAGTTGTGCTAGTTTTATTGTAGTGAACAACCCCTGAAAGTTTCATCCAGATATCTTAAAAAATAAAAAAGTTCGGTCTCCAGGGTAGCCTCCCCCCTTAAACAACTCATGAAACAGCCATGCCCAATGAAATGTCCCACACAACGTGGGGCTTTCACAGAGTTACCAAAAAATGCACATACTGTTTTGCTGAGCAGGCTCAGTGGCAACGGTAGTGTCTGTTGTCGAATCTTGCGCTGCATTTGCGTTCGCTGCAGATGAGGCAGCCGCCTGAGATGCTGCCGCCTTAACGGCGCGAGACTGTTTGGTGGGTTTGGCGGGGCGCGACTTCTGCCCGTCTGCCAAGGTTGCAGCTTTCTTGCGGTGGCACTGGAAGGATACGTCCAAGCTGGAGGCCATGGCCGAGAAGCTGACGGGCGATATGGGTGTGCTGGGCCAGACCCTCAGTTCCTGTGCCACCTCAGGCTCCATCGAGGCCAGCAATTTGCAGTCTGTGCCTGCCAGGCTGGCCACTGCCTGTTCCTTCTGGATTAGAAAATAAACAAACCAAACTTTTCATCCCTGGAGTGAAAAAAAAAAGAGTGCTATCGTATATCTTCGACATTGCATTAACTCAACCACATAGTTGCAACATCAGATTTAAATACTTGACTTGGGAAACGTTTATAAAATATTTTGACTGAATACTAAAGTTGGTCTTGAATGGTTGGACTTCCACACTGGCATCATCACAGTTTCATGGCACAGAGCTATCAAGATGCTATCCAAAACAGGAAGTCTTTTTTGATACAATCTTAGTGAAGCAAATGTAAATTCAACAGACATTGTGAAAAGCACTGCTGGCTGCAGTTACAGTTGAACCCCTTTATAGGAGACATGGACCGGGACCAATTCTTATCTTTAATATGAGGTGTCTCTTACAAGCACAGCGCCACATACGCATTTTCTTATGAAGACCTATTTCAATGTAGGCACACTGGTGTCTCTTATACACATCTGTCTCTTACATCAATGTCTATTGTAAAAGGGTTTGACTGTATAATTATAAAAAAAAAATGCTTTCTAAATTTCAAAAACATTCAGAAGGGGAAAAAGGTTACCACACAACAGCTCTCAGCACCACAAAAATACAGACTTGAAAAATCCACCCGATGATTTTGATAGGTTGCTTCAACACACAGTGCGTTCCCAGTTTTCACTGAGCTCTCGATATATGAGTGCAAAGAGCTTCCATGGCACGGTACATGTGATGCTCAAACGGGGCATGAAGGTGATTTGTCCAGAACATTTCCCCGTCATCACCTGTCGCAAACGAAGTGGTTTCCACCGAGATTGCAAGTGTTCTAGCACGTTGGAGAGTCGGCGCTGTAGGCTCGTCTTGGTGCGCACCCGAGGATTTTGAGCCAGAGACTGCACCTGCACCCAGGCGGCATTGGTGCGAGGCCGGAACTCGACCCACACGTCTGCTGGAAGCTTGGGTGGCTCATCCTTCGTGTCTGCAAGACAAACAATGCTTGCGTTCATTGCCTATGTCACAAGCAGACACCATGCCAATCTAAACCTATCACGGAATCTAATGGACAGATTCAACTCTGAATTTACGGTTGAATTCTTGCCCCGGAATGTACAGTCTACTATTGAACCCTGTTACACTGGAAGTACAGTTAAACCTCATTATAATGAACCTCTATATAACGAATTCCTCGATATAACAAAGTTGATCTATTCCTCGCTGTAACTCCAAAGAAGAACATATATTTCCGACCTCTATGTAACAAAGTAACAGCGGAAGACATCCTTGATATTACGAATTTTCACCACAGACAAACTAGAAAATTTGCCCCAGATTTTGTCATTTTGGCATGAGCATGCATCTTCTGCGTTTGCCCCGCCGCCGACGAAGCAGGCAGTAGCGGCTAGCATTGCCGTCGTTCTAGTCGCTGCGGGCGCATGCACGAATGTGCTCTCCCTCTCCCTTCAAACCATAAACAAAATTTAAAAAAAAACTACTTTTGCACCGTTCACTCTTTGTTTTCGACGCTATGCAAGTGTATGGTTTCACTACGCGCGCATGATGTGGCCTCCGATGCCGTTCAGCTTTGTGTGTGTTTTTTATTTAACGCAGACAAACGCCTCGTGACTGATCGAGGGCATTTCAGATTAGGCACTGATGGAAACTCTTCGAGACCACGGTCACAACGACAGGTCTCAGGAGGTCGACTCGTCATGTGTGCTTCCGTCTTGAGCCGCACCGTGAGTTCGCAGGAACATAGCCATCACGATTAGGCAATTAACTGTGGCAAAAGCACGATGCCACGTTGAATGCAATGCAATAAATGCGATAGCAACAAATTGTAATGTTATGCGAAGTAAGGCTGGCAGCCAACTCTTTTGGATCCGATATCGCGGAACTCCTGCAAAATGCTAGTATAAGGTACGGCCGCTCCACGAATAAGTGCTCTTTTCACAGTCTCTTCGCACTTAAAGCGCACTGATGCTTGCCGAGATGGCACGCCTGCCAGCGGCCACGCCCTTGAAATGAAAGTTCCCCGCTGCTATTAAAGCGACCCCCCACGCATTTTTTCATGATTGTTAAAACCAAGGTTCCCTTTCTGTTTGAGCATTCGACGGCAGTTGTAGCATGCAGGGGGATATTATCGTATGCACCCTCCAGGCGATAGAGATGGGCCGACTCAATTGATCTCTGCTTCAGCAGCGCTAGTGCATTTTTACACGCTCGTAAAAGTTACGATGTGCGGGGGCATGTTATCAATTTAGACTTGTTACAAAACATTGTAGCGACAGCAATAAATCTGCCAAGAGTGTCCATACTATTGCCATCGCAATATTAATGCAGTTTATTACTACAAAATAAGTGTTTCGGGCTAACTCTGCCTTAAGTTTTCCTTTTGTTTATTTTTTGCATTAATTTTCTTAATTTTCGTATCGAACCTGCATACAACAAAATCTTCTCTATAACGTATTTTCCCAAAATTTGCCAATTTTGTTATATCCTTCATTTGAGTGGAATGACATTTGGATTTAACGACATCATTCTGCTGCTGCACAGTGATAGTTAAGTAATGTCATAAGAATTGAATAACTTTGCAATTGAATGTGTTCAAAAATCTCGTCTCACTTCTCGCTTGGATCAAATGTGTCTTTGTACCCCCTGGACAAGGTAAAATGATGTAGGAATCAGCATTCTTCATTTGAGAAGCATTCATGTATGTAGATATGTTGTCAAAGGGACACTAAGGTCACACAACAATTTACGTCAGAGTGAAAGCTCAATGTATAACAGCATCTAAAACGACAATATTATCAACAACAGTGCCCTACTTACAGAGAAATCAATGTAAATTCACAAGAACACATGCGCCACAGTAGGACATTCTCAAAATTATATCGATGACACCATAATCAGTAGTAATCGATCTGGCTGCACTAAATAAAGAACCTTCTGTGCATCAAGAGACGCAATAAAATGCTGCCTGTTCATTTCTGTTTGATTCGTGAAAAAAATAACTGCCGAACGTTACTATGGGGAATGGCGCAAGTGATTCAAAAATTCAATTTTCACGTAGTTACACTGGACAGATGCTGCCGTCTAGCGGGGTGCAGTTGAATCGAAAAACATCTGCAATCTTGAAGCTAATGGTGGGAAATTGATCAATAGCCATTGTTGCTGCTGTGGCTCCCGCTGCTTTCGGTCTGCTGCTACTAGCGCAGTAAAGCCCGGCAACGTTCTGCACAGCAACAGTGACGTGAGTCGGTCCAGTCGGTCCGCTTCTTGAGGCAGATAATTTGAAGTGCGCTAACATGATGCGGACCACTATAACGTGATTTTATTTCAAAATAGGCCCTTCCTTGGCACAAAAGTGACACTATGAGGTTTCTGGACCGCTATTTCAACAATCAATGCCGACTTAATAGTTGCCTTTAGTGTCCCTATAACCTTACTTGTCGTAAGGCACATGTCATATTTAAACGATGGTAGCACTTCGTACATTACCTTCTTTGTGTCCACAGAGTTTCTCACAATCATAACTAGAGGAAAATCTGGCGCTAGTGAGCTGCTGGATGCAAGAGAATGATGGGATACGTGAGCTTGAAACTTCACTCGGATTTATATACCTCGAAGACGCATCTGGCTTTACGTTAAAATGATTGATTTCTAACTAAAAGAGCATGTAATAAGCTATATTTTTGTCATTGCACTGAAACCTGTTGTATTTAACCCTAGAACCTTCTACGTTGATGTACAGTTTTACGTAGCGTAAGAAATAACCAACGACCGCTAAACTTGGTAGGCAGATGACAAAGCAAGCATTTTTCCCGCCCCTTTTATGTCGTCTGTTTCTTTCCTTCGCTGTTTGTTAGTGCCGTCAAGGTAAGTAGACTTTTATTTTAGAATATAATATGCACCAAGGAGATCCGCTTACGAACGTTTTTGTTTTATAAAAGCTTCATTTATGCAGTCGTATTCGCGTTTGAGCCGAAGCCTCGCTCAACACCAGCCAACACTAGTCTCGCAGATATATATACCGTCATTCCCAGCGCTCTGGCATCACACCTTAAGAAATTCGCATAGACGGTGGCACCACACTTCCCTCTAGGTATTTGTGAGAAACTCTATGTTTGTGTCCCTACTGGGTAGTACGAGTTTACAAGGTTCTATTGTAATGTCGAAAAAAAAAAAAACACAATTATGAAGGAAATCAGTTAAGCTTAACAGCCAAGTAAACACAAAGTGAAGATATTATGGCAGTATACCTCTGCAACACACCACTGTATAAAATCGACAGTGAAAATAAAACTAGATGCCTCACCAACATTGTTGATTTTCTTTAAGGCTCGGCACACTGGAGTCTTGATGCGAATACGTTTGCCCCGTATTTTCACCAAGGTTGAACTGTTAGGAAAAAAAAACTAAGTTGGTTGGTGCTCTGGCATGCAAATCAGTACTCTTTAAAGCAAAGCAGTAATGCACCAAAGAAGGTCAAGCTGGCGAAAATGTGAAAGCAAGACAGGTTTCATGATAGATGCCCTGGCACATTGTCCAGGCAGAAAAAATCTCAAATTATTTTGAACGTGTAGCAATATGGCTTGAGCAAAAAACTGCTGCTTTATGACCTTAGAGATCTTATGCAAAATTGCTGTCGTCTGACGGCCGTCGTGTCCATATCCACAATGTTAGAGGCTCAGCGCAGCGCAGTGCGCACAGTCCCCATGCGTTTAAGTATTCGTAAGACATATGGACGTGAGTCATGTATTAGCTGATGATCGCAATGCCGACCTATTGCTGCGTCCCTTAAAGCTCATTGCCTGAATGTGGCTTAAAGCATACGAGTCGCCTTCACTTGTTAAATGGCTGATAGAGAACATGTTGCAAAAATTGTGTGGCTTCGGCGTGCAGCAATCTGTGGGAACACGAGTACAAATGATATTGCACACCTTACTTGCTTGTAAAGACAAACCCAAACACGTGTTTCGGGAGCAGTAGCCAAAGCATATGCTGGAAACGTCATCAGCTCGAAAAAGTAACGTGGAGCAAAGTTTTTGGCTCACCCTTTTTCCTTCGGCATTTCGAGTTCCTCTCTCTGTGCAGCAGGGGACACAGCGATACGTCAGCATTGCAATTATCAGTCAATACACGCTTCACGTTGATACGCCTTATGTATACGTACACATACGCACATGCGAACTGTGCGTACTGTGCCGGGCTGAGCCTCTAACATGGCGGTATGCACACGACGGCCGACAGATGGCAACCATTCTGTATAAGGTCTATACAAAAGCATTCACATTTGCCGTACCTATGCTAAGAAAAAAGGGTTATTTAGGTAGAATTTTAAAAGCTATTAAGCAACAAATTGGTTTTCACGGTTAAGTTAACTAGACCTCAACAGCAATATATGGATGATGAGGGTGTCAATGCTTCAGTTTAATGCACACAATATGCAAGGTAAGCTGCTCAAAAAGAAGACGGAAAGCACCTAATGCAGCTAGTAGCATATGCTATTGACTGCTGGTACTGCAAAAGTAACTACTTATTGCTTTGGTCTTTCAATGTGTCGCCAATGAATCTACATTATGCTGCTATTGCACGTAAACACTTTTGGCTATGTGCATTGTGGATAAAAATACATAGTGCTCTACGGCCATGAATTCACGAAAACTTTCAATACTTCATCGCATTGAGGTCTAACTAAATAAATTAGTGCACATTCCTACGGCGGAAAAAGAATGCTCAGTCGTAAAATTTTGACCTATGAAAATGCCGTAGTACTAAATGTGAATGCTCTTCTTTCCATTTCCGTATATATTTAATTAACACAACAGTTATTGGGATGCATTTTGCATACTCAGAAGCTTTCATACTTCTTACATGTTCATGTGCCTAATAAAGTCGCATTCCTTTATTGAACAAGAACAAAGCTAGAAACAGAAGCCCTGCCTTCCTACCCTTTCATGGAAACTCTTATAAGAATGGTTTCCTTTTTACTTACCCAGTCAGAACTAGCTCGGTGAGAAGCTGTCCACTTTTCTGATTAATACCTATACAGGGGTAGGAAAGAGAGAAAGAAGACAGGGAAACATTAAATAATACCACAATCTGACTTAAAGGCTACCAGCACACTGAAACAAACAAAAAAAAATACCTGCCACCAAAAAAATGACATTTAAACCCACACACACATTTAAGAATGTGCACTGCACACCACCAAAATATGGGCAGCTGCTTACATTGGTGCTTTCAAACTTGGAACAGAACTGGACTGCATTAATAATGAACAATCACAAATTAATTAGATTACTGATTTATCAGTAATCAATAATACATATTTTGGTAGATTAGTTTGAACAACCGGTCGCTTTCATATCGCTGTACCCACTGCAATTCAAATACATGTTTTGGAAGCAAATTACACACGACCAGATACTTCACTGTCCCGAAAAAATGAAACAGGCAAAGCTGCATTGAACTGCTGAATTCGGCGAAGACTACGGTAAGCACAGCCACAATTGTTTTACGCAGCAGCCTCACAGATGCCCTTGCTCAGGTAGGACACCAAATATTCAGTATTTGTTTCAGTCCTCCGAATGACAGGTTGCAGAGCTTCTATTGTTGACATTCCTACACAATTAGACATATCATTTCAGTCAGCAATACAGATTGCACATTTCTTTTCTGCATTGTATCTATAAAAAAATATTAACATCAGGTGTATAAGAACTTAAGAGTATAAAACATACACTGCTTTTTTATGGCGTGGTTATCAGTTCATACCAGTTATCACGCTTCAAGTTTTGCTCTCATAATTCATTCCATGATCACTGAACAAGTCCAATCAGGACTGTGGCAACCTTACTTGTCAAGTAGGTGCCTCACAATAATCTTTTTTTGACCAGACACTGAAGTCCATGTATAAAACCTTTTGATTGACAGCTGAACGCCTAAAACCATAATGCTTAGAACCAAAACAGAGAATGCAATGTCAAATCTTATTGAAAAAATCTAAATTCCAATCAGTCCTCATTTAAGGGACTGGCCAATACAAGGAGATTTTTCTACCAGAAAAGTGAAAAGGCTTCCTAATCAAGTTTGCGCTTAAGCACTCATACATACAGGCACTGTATTTTTTGCGCAGTTCCGCGTAGTTGATGAGTCCGTATAGTTCCTGTGTCTGCTTCTTCACGTCTGTAGGAAAAACAAAATGAAAAAGGTGGGGGAGGGGAAGCAGTTTCACAAGGAAAGTCACTTCCATGTGTGTTAAGTAGTAATGATGATAATAGTACTAGTAGTGATAACAACCTTGAAAAATATCAGTGCTACTAAAGTTTTCATCTGTGACTTGAGTGAAAAGAACTACCTTTGCAAAAATGTTTAATTTCCTCCCAAAGAGCACTACTGCTTCCCAAAGAGCACTATTGCTTAAAGAAGGCATGACAGCATGCCACCTAATGATCCTGAATGCTGATTTAGAAGAGAGATGACACCTCACTGCTTTTCAAAGCGATAACCTATGTTAGCTTATGATATGTGCTGTTGCCACTTCCAAGTGTCTCACTTTTGCCCATTTTGATGCTTGTTTGCATCTGTAGCTGTTCGTGCCACTATTCTTTGTTTAAATTAATTTTTGTGATTTATTCTATCTGACTTTATTAAAATTAATTTATCTTTTACGTTTGTGATTGTCATGACTAGCTTTTATTTTTTTATTGCTTATGAATACTTTAACTTTTATTACTAGAGCTACAGAAATAATATAAAGTAAATGACTCACTGTTCGCTTAGTTTCCTGTAAACGCCCACTTATGTTTTGTTAGAAGGTCCCCCCGACAGTTTTCACTACGGGACCTCTGAAGTTGCACTTCTTGTCCACCTTGTAATCTCGTCAAATATTTGCACCAGAATACATATACATTGCAATGCAAAGGCTACATGCCAGAAATTATTCCACATGACAGCAAAAATCGACGGTCAACCTTTGATCGCAATGCTTTCGTGTCAGTCCTCATGAGCATGAACAAGAACACCTTAAAAAGGGATGTACAATGTTATTTCACCTCATTCCGAACTTGTAGACAGACCTAGGCCACACCAACCTTCTCGCATATCAATGTGCCAAAAACTGCGCGTGCCCCTCCATGACAAGATACATCCCAAATGCCATACCGTACCTTCTCGACCCTCGCCAATGTCCATGACCTTCGCTATCTTGTGCCACGTCCTGTAGTAGAAATGTCGTACTTGATCCTTGTTCTTGATGCAGTGCGCGGGCACACCTTTCTTCTTGCTCCGCTGAGCGATGTACGATTGAATGCTCTCGAAATCCTTCCCAAACTGCAGGAAAAACACAAAAAAGGGTAGCATGTATTTAATTTTGAAACCGAGGCAAATAACCACCATGCAAACACCCCTCTTATAGGTAGGCTTTTCTGAAACGTACCAAGGCAACGCAGGCATCACAAGCTTGAACCGTTAGACACGAAGCTTAAGGGGAGACGCGGGTCTTAGGACGGTAAAAAAATGGTCAGAAAATCGATTTTTTGGAAATCTTATTTTCAAGGCGTTTTTACTTCTGAGCACCTACTCTCAAATTGCTAACGCTGAATTCAGTCGGGAAACACAATAAAATCGGCCTTCAATGCAGCCCGATCGCACTAAAATGACCCCAAAGGACGAAATTTGTTCGAACTTTCTGCGCGCGCCATTTGCGTTGCGGTGGACTGAGCGTCGCCATCTTGGGCTTGATTTGAAGCTGTTTCCTTTGTGCACAATTTGCGCCATCCATCTTAAAATGCCGTCGCTCAAGCGGAATCGCTGCTGTAACGGGTTTTCTGAAGGTCATTTCCAGATCCCCGATTGGCCCTAACGCAGCGTGCTTTTCAAGCACATCTTTCCAAGTTCTCATTGGCTGGGGTGAGCAGCACGTGATCTTTTTTTCTTTGTGTTGTGTTGGCCCCATGGCTGTCCGTTTGTGTGCATCTACTCTTGCGATCGTGCGCGTTTCGCAACGCACCCTGTTTCCGCTTTGCACCGGTACTTTTCCACCGCGATCGAGATGTCTGGAGACTCTCGTCTGAAACCATCGACGCGACGAGCTTTCGGAAGCCGTAAAAAAACGGCCTTGGAACAAAAACAAGTGCCTTTTGGCAGCTGGTTGCAGTCGCAGCCGGACCCGTTGGATCCGCCGGAAACTTTAACGACGCTGTCTACTGACGACGCCCTGGGACCAAGTTCGACGAGCGATACACTTCGAATTGATGCTGCGTACTACTCAACAGCGGAGAAGGCACAGCGAGTTAAAAAACAGACGCAAATGAAGATTGTTTTGTCGGGAAAATCGGCTACCCGAAAGTTCGACCTCCTTGGAGTCAGCCCTTATAGCCTTCGCCATCCGATTTTTGGCAGCGCCTACACAGGCATTGAGCTAGGAGTTGACGCGAGCACTGATAACATTGTCATCAGTGAACAGAGACAGCATGACGTCTAGCTGAAATTAAGGCAGACATCATCACGGGCAAGCGGAATGACGTGCGAAAAAAAATAGAATGTTTTTAGGCCAACGTGATTACCACTGAGGTAGCACCGGCCACATCGATCTTTTTTTATATATACGGCTCTTCAGAGCCACCTAAACGATGCATTTACAAGATTGCAACACGAATTTTGTACTACAGCAGTGACCCTCTGTGTCAGCAAAAAATACCTATAAAAAAGGGGCATTTTGGCGAGCATTCATTTTTCCGCACATTTTCATGGTCTCTTGAGAGTCCAGAAATAAGCAACTTATTATCCCAGGGCAGCATGCTGCCTAACAGCTAGTCGTTTGAGCCTCATACCCCACAGCTTTTCAGAACCCCTCAACAGCTTGTGCATGGTGGAGTTCTGATAATGCTTTCACATTGAAAAATGATTCCAAGGATGAAGAGGCAGATTTTGTTCTGTTTTGTAGGGGAATAGATCAGGAACATGTGTAGCAAATTTGTGGTAAAAGTTCCTCATAGAAAATTTTGCACTGCATGTTGAAACTTCAAATGCGATTTCCTCAGCTTCACATTATTTCGCCAACCTGGCCAGCCTTACGGAACATTTCAGTCATGTTTTTGTGAAGCAATGTTTTTTAATTTTATACCGTTGAACTCGTAAGAAACAAGACTGTGGAGCTATGCTATTTCTTGTGGCTAGAAGAGACATATGAAATGGCATGAGCAATAAACTGAGCTATTTAAATTTCAAAATTGTCGAGCATCAATGCAATGAGAATTTTTAATATAGTAATGTATCTCAGTGACAATATAAATAGCATAGCTCCCCATGGCAGGTCTTTGGCTACAGCTACACCCTAAACAGAACCTAAATTACTGAGGAAAAGTACCTTAACAACCCGCAAAAAATTACACAATTAGACTTCACTTATGCTCTCACAATTTAATAACTAGTTGGTGTGGATAAAAACTAATTTATATTTTTGAAAAGAGGAGGAATAAATACATATACACACCTAATTTTATTACAGCATCTCTAATAATAAAAATTTTAATTTCAAGACCAGCCTCTCCCATTAACAATTCAAATGTGCACTGGCAGAATTCTATTACATAAGCTAGATAAAAAGTGTGAAAATTTGGCTACAATGAGCTCAACACACATAAACACAGACATAAGATAACAGATACAATAAATTAAATCAAAAAGGTTCTCACCAATGTAACAAACATATCGTTCTCAGAAATACATGTGCTTTCGAGTTGTCGATGAATTCGCCTTCGTGCTGCCAATTGCTAGCTTCCTGCAGCAGGGTTAGTTCTATTGCTAGAGCGACCACCCTAGAAAAGCGTTGTTCCTGGGGTTTGATTACCTAGACCAGGACGAATTTTTCAGCAACTAAGAGGCTTTCCTTATTGAGAAATCCATATGGATTTCCTTGCGGCTTTGTACCACAAACGGGTGGCTGTCTAATTTCAATTTCTTTACATGAACATATTTCTTCATGTTGGATGCAATTAACTTTTCATGGATTATGAAGGGAAATGATGTGCAGAAACTTTGATGTACCTCTAAGAACAGTGACAAGCCAGTGAATATCTGCCATATCTTATCAACACTCTCGCGACGACTGACCGGTAGACATGCATACGTGCCTCACAAACGGCTTCAAAAAAGGCATTCTTGTCCTCAATGCTCCACAACTCCCATGGGCGGCGCGTCTTGCCAGCATCAGCGCCACCTTGCTTGGACACTGAAAGCACAGATCACTTTCTGTAAGATATTTTTTAAATGTAAGTGACCTCCAGTTTCCTTCCTGGCATGTTTCATGGCAGAATAATAGGCAGATTTGCACACAAATGCATGCATTCTGTTGTTATTTACAATAGACTGCCAGCGTACAATTTCATTGGTGTCACTGCCTTTTTGTGTGTGTGTGGCATCAGAAAATAGTAAACAAGCACAATGGAACAGAATCTGTCAAAGGCATTGACAGAGGTACAAAAAATGCCACTAAATGATGTCACGTAACACTGTTGAAACGTCGCATATAAAACATGTTCAGTTCCCGGCCAATGTATACTGATGAACACCTGAGCTTTACGTTATTCGTGTACTCATGCAATGTTCACAACAGGCAGTACTATTTCGTGTTTTGAAGAACTGCTTCTTTGCTTCTCTAACTCCCTAAATTTCCTGGCACCTTGCATCCGTTACAATTATGAACGTCTGGGTACAATACCATTAAACACATTAATACTTTCTGTCTTGTAACACTGCATGTAAACAGTTCCTCTAGCCGAAGCAGAGGGAGCTCAATGTAGATTGCGCTACATTAATAACTAAAGTAGTGTCTTGAATGAAAGAAAGCGAATACTAAAGGCTCAATATTCCTTGTTAATCACAATATTACTCATTGACAAGAAAGTCAGAGAAAGTAGAGTGGATGTTATTTGTAGTATGAAGAAAGTAAAGTAGACGAAAAAATAACTTGCTGCAGGCTGAGACAGAATCTGTGACCTTTGAAATAACGTGTCCCATGCTTTACCAACTGAGCTACAGTGGCAGTCATCCCGACTTCCCCTTTAAGGGGCATATGTGCGCATTTTAACGTGCGAGTGTTAGTGCCACAGGTAGCCATGACAGCGAGTGCAGAACACTGTCGCTTATTGGCTGCGCCCACGGACTGAGAAAGTCCGTGCAGCCGCCGCACGGAGTCTACCCGCCGCGCGAGCAACAATACGGGGGAGAGGCGAAGCATGTAGGGAGGGGCATTCAAGCTCCACTAAACGTGAAACCTGGGGAGGGGAAAGGATACACGTCCACATTCAGTTAACCCACAGGTTGCGAATCTTTGTTGTTCAACTATGCGCAAGAGAAATCTCCCGCCAGCATTCCATTGCAGGTCAAGATCCAGTGCCTATATATATAGAGTGGCCAGTGAACCGTTGTGTAGCACATTGTCTTTCACGGGCAAGGTAGCATTTCCACAGTCAACGCACGCCGTTCGCCCTCTCGCACCACGCGGCGAGTGCTGAGGCAAGTGAGAGCAAACTCACTCTTCGCAAGAGAAGGCCATCTCTCTCTCTTGCACTCAAGCAAGTCAACCGTCATGACAACAGCAGACGACGCATGCACACAGACACACTGAAAATCTAAGGTGCTCCACCCCTAAAAGAACATTCCAGAATAACACAGACGAAGAAAGGGTGCTCTAGAAGTAATTGACAACTGAGGAGGTAGTTTATTCTCTGCTGAATACAAAGAGACAGACACTACAGAACGTAAAGATTGTAGAAGAGAGTGAAAATGATCAGGGGACCATTCTTAAAATTAGACACCACTTTAGATGGTACTGCTTGTGGCTTAAGGTTGATTAGTATTCAAGGTAAGCAAGAAACATTTATTAAATTCTGGTGACAAGAATGGAGGGCAATGATAAATAAAGCGGTGGTCATTACAGGCCTCAAAGAAGAGAAGAAACATCGAGGAGAGACAGGCAAAATGCTAGGACGCAGTAGATGCAAAACCACCGTAGGCCAAGCAGGCTTGGAAGATTTGTTTGTCAGGTCTCGCAACAGACTCCAGTAGAAACTGTTGCACATTGTCACCTAAAAACCTCGTGTATGCTATCTGTAAGCAGTCAAGATTTCAGCCATTGCCACTCTTTGGTGCACAAACTCAAATGCTTGTTACTGCTGCCCAAGTGAAGAAGACGAGAAATGGAATGAATGTAAACATTCGACAGAAGTCTGTCTGGTTGGGAATGAAACTGGGAGATGATTTAGACTCCAATCAAAAGTTTTGAAGAAACCCAACGTTTCGAAACCGGCAATGTTTGGTCAAGTCAAGGAACCAAGTCGGTTTCGAAATGTCGGGTTTATTCAAAACCTTTGGTTGGAGTCTAAATCATCTCCGAGAAATGGCATGAACAGCACAACAAGGAGACACAGCAAAAATGACAGGCACAACAGCGGTCTTCTGTCTGATCATTGCCATTGTTGCAATGCTTGTTACACTTTGCTAAGCACTGACCAAACAATTTCAGTACCCTCGTGCATATTGTTGGACACATAAAAGCTGTTGACTAATTGCATCACCTGATGGTTGGCACAGGTTTGAAACTCTAGGTGCTAGACTGCCTGTCACATCCTGCCATTGCTACAGCGATGGGACTTCCCGTTGCTAAATATGTTTAGAGCACAGCGCTAGTTTCTGCTCTGAGCGGTGTCACCACTGTTGAAGAAATCGATAAAGCGAATGTGAAATGACGACGAAAGAGAGACTGACCAAAGGAGTTTTCGGCCATGATAGCCACACAGCCGCTGTGTTAGCATCTGCAATGCGCCATGCCTGTTCCTGCTTTTTGTGACAGTTTAACACATGCCTCTCGCGCATGGGCAAAGGAAAGTGGGTTGACCTGCGAGGCTTGAGGAAAAAACTACACAAACTGGTCGAAGAGACACTTCGTGAGTGGAATGTTCTAGCAACGTTGGTGGAAAATAAACTGCGTGTGAAATGCTCTAACGGGCCCTTGGGGCCCTTTATAGTCCAACACAACGTCCGTGTTGGCGATGCTAGCTTCACCACGTTACATTGCCACAAAAAACTAACCATCTTATGCTCCCACTAATACTCCGTCATGTCACCTCGATGCATTTATATTTTCTCAACTTATAACAAAATCAAAACACATGAACAGCTATTCACATTGTGCAATACCATAATCAGTTAATTTTTTTACTAGGTCTTCATTTGTTTACTGCGTATGCTACTGTACTTTGTTGACAATTCACTGATATTGAGTTTAGTTTTATTATATATACTCCAACAGAACGTAGGCATCAATGAGGATGGCAATTTGGGCTTAGTTGGTATGATAGCATGATAATATAAGGTAGCGCAGACAGAGGACACAGATAAGAGAAAGCAAGTGAAGATGTTGTCTTAAATGTGCCTTCTCTAGTCCGTGTCCTTTGTCTGTGCTACCATATATTATCGGGTAGGCATCAAGTTGTTAACAATTAACAGCATCAAAATCCCAGCAAATTGAACAGCTTTTCCAGTAGCCTGTCTGCTATCACTTGTCGGAGAAGCTGATTTTAGTAAAATGCAATAGGTAATGCCCTGCCATCAGTGACATTAGCAGATAAATCATGGATGAAGCAGAGACTGGCTGGAGCACTATCATAAAGGGGGTTAGTTCTGCCATTGCTTGATTAACGATAACCCCTCAGTTCGGACGTCCCTCAAAGCTTTTATTCCTACACCTTGACATGCGTAGCAACGTGCCAGGTGCATGATGGGGCTAACCGTGCCATCTCTTACAAATACTTTTATCATTCTCAATTCACTTTATGACCACATACAATGGAGGAGGCTCTTTTCTTACTTGCATTACATAGGAGTGAAATGCACAGCCTGAATGAGATATACAAAATACAACATGCAAAATGCTAGTGAGTCCCATGCTCTTCAAATGTTGGTATTACTATAATTTGAACGAGTGCAAGACGTTGGTGAGACTCCTCTTCTCTATTATTTTTTTTAAGAAAAGGGGAGCACTTTTGCACGAATGTATTTGATTACCACGTAACTAAATTTTCGTGCGAAATGATATAATAGCGTTCATAAAAGACTTTGTGGTCAGAAAGACCTCTAGGTCGCAACAATCATGGCTCCCTTCAATGCCATGCTATGGACCAACAACACACTTTCAAGCCGGCCTGCAAGTTCTCGCGGCCACACTATCAACAAAGCCAAATGTCGACATGTGTGTCACGCTTGTTTACTTACCAGAACGATGTCATCATGTACAAAGATGACAACAGGAATGCCGACATGCCTGACACGCAAAGGCATCGATCATACGTGCAAGGCAACGGCGCAGCTATCGCTCACGCTGCCCGAACTTCCTATCACAGACACTCTCGAGGCCACACAAAACACAGTTTTCGAAAATCACCGGGACGCCGCTACAGCGAAGAGCACACAGACGAATGTGGCACACGGCGGGAAAAAGGCACTGACCAGCGGACTGATTTCTTGTTCGCAGCCGCAGTGGTGGAGGGCGGAGGGTTGGATGAACTCGGCGGCGGGCTGACGTCCTTGCGTGGTCGCTTCGTGACGCGCAAACTTGAGCGCTGCACGGGCGCTGAACTTTTGGCCTCCTGTTTCTCGGAGGACGCAACATCGTCACCGGCCGCTGAACTGTTTTGCCCGCTCGGAGAACCGAGACGTGGTGCGTTTTGGGAACGAGTGCGAGCGAGCAGCTGAACAGCAGGCGGGCTCGGAGCGATTGGGAGCCGATAGGTCTCCTTCCTTTCCAGCCTCGGTTGATCTGCGAAAACGCACAAACGCAGTACGAAGTGAATTCCAAGCGACAGGCAGGACCAGTAGGAGTGCACCGATGATTAGGGATGCTGAAATATAAATCGCGAAGAGTAGGAAAATGCTGTCGGAAGTAAGATGGCTACCGAGGCGAAAAGGTTTTTGAAACTTCGGCACCACTCCGAGACTGAGAGACCCCGCATTTATTTCGGCAGGCGATCGGGCGCGCTTTGGTTTGAACCTAGCACTGCTCCTGCGCGGTTGGCATGAGCGAGACAGTGCGTGACATTTCCGTGCGCGAATCTGCAAAACGGCGACAGAGAAAAAACACTGGAAAAATAAGCGCAGAAAAATATGGCGACGACACGAAAAGATTGAAGTAGGCTTAACGAGGAGACCGACGCTTACGGGTCTTCGGGGCGCTTTTCTTCCTGTGCAGAGCATGATCCAGACTTTTTGCGCTTTACCATCGGACCGGCAACGTGTTCTATAACTCCGGCATCTCGGGAGCGGAGGTATCCGGACGTCGACGGGGCACAGCGCGCACAAATGTCAAAGGCGTGTTTAGCTTGCGGTCGCTTGTTGCTACACGTATGGGGGTTTCTGGGAGTCGAGCTAGTCAAGTTTCTGATACACAGACTAACGTGGTGACATCACTTCATCTCTTAGGAGCCCGAAAAACGCTTCTTAATCGCGAGAAAAAGTGTGCGAAAAGCTGCCAGGCGCTGTAGCGATTTTTACGAGACGAACTTTGCGAGTACGCGTTCAAAGTTTGACACGGGGAACGAATAGCTGGCTCGTATGCATTCGTCCCGCCTCAAACCTCGATTGCTTAATTGTGGCAAAGAAGTTGCCACAAACTTGCGCTGTTTAAATGCCTAAGATGGATACGAAAAGAATAAGTCAGCAGAACTCTGCCTCTTAATTGTCACTTCTCCGTAGAAATCTGCGCGAATGCAACACGAAAACTGATAATAGATCAATCACGTTTTTTCTGAGCGCTAAATACTTGGTCAATATAAAGGAATCCTACATTCATTTTACAAGTTCACTTTGCCTTAAAAGTTTTTTAGTGTATATAGCTGCTGTAATAACACTCATGGCAACATAAATTTTGTTTTCCTTTTTCACGCAAATAGAAAGACCAGAACACTGAACATTGTACAGCTATAATTGGTCAATTGATCTAGCAGTGGCAACCTCACGACGATAAATTTGAAGGTAAACTGGTTCGCTATCATACTTCGTATTTATTTCGTAAGGTTTAGGCTAACCATTCCTTGTCAGACTACTTTATTTTTGCATGTGCATGAAGTCAACGAAAATCCTATGTGAAAATAACGCGCGCCCAGACCTGCGGTAGTAGACCAACGCTTCACTTAGCGTAGAAAACGTTTACAATCGCGAAATTCTGTATTGCTCATTACTCGCACGCCTCAATACTTTTTATGTGTACTGAGAGAGATGTACATGACGAACTGCATATTCCTCATGTGTTTCATTGGAGAGACAATTTCATTTTCCAGGCCATCAAAAGTATGTATGTTAAAATGAAGGGATCCTACTAGAAGCCGAAGGAAGACGTATAGTTAGAGACAACTTACACGCAGCTAAAGACACCTAATAGAGCTGGTTTCACATGCAGACACATCAAGCGCGTTTTCACTGAGCCGACGCGGAATGCTTGCTGACGCTTGCGACCAGCCACGTAGGTGCGCCCGAGAGCAGCCGACGCCTCTTAGCGCGCTTACTTCAAAACCAGAACTTACGCTATTGGTTGGGGATACGGCTTGTTGTTTTGATTCTTTACAGTTCAGTGCTTTATTTATTTCAATTACTGAATGAAATATAATTATAAATAATGCCTTCACTACTAATAAAGAAATTATGAAGTGATTGTGAAATGGTTCAGCAGTGTAAAAAAAAGTTGATGTTTTCTTATAGACACATTTTTAACAATTTGTTAGGCCTTGGCAGAACCGCCAACAATGCCTGGCCACAATGAAGTTTTCTTTTTTTCTTTTTTAGTTCGCGCATGCTTCGCTTGTCGATGGCGGCTGTGCGCGTTCTCGTGAAAACTGTTACGGCGCGTCTGTAACGACTACTGGTGCGAAAAGTGTAAATTTGGCTTCGTTGTTTGTTAGGCGCATCGCCGAGTCCTTGTGAGTGCATAGGAATGTTCGGCACTCCTGCGAAACCAACGGGCTTCACCGGATTTGGCACACCTACGACTACTGCAGCAACATTCGGGACCGGCACGCCCGGTAAACTTCGACAGTTCCTTGCAGCCAGTTTACTGCATTGATTCTAAACTGATCGCACTGATAGAGCGCGTTGTGGCCTAAATTTTGTCCCCGTTAAGCACGCGGTCACAGAGTGCGCACCATGAGAATTCCGAATTCGTCGTAAGATCGAAGGAAATTTGAATCGTCGTTCGTGTTTGTGTTGTTGGTGTTCGTATAGGGACGTTAAAACAGGAATAGAGAGAAGGGAGTCGCGCGATGGCTATTCAGTTCATTCGATGACATTACGAATGTGTTAGCCGTTCTAACGTTGTGATTTGATCGATAAGCAACAGATTTGACTGCCGTACGTCCTTTCCATAGGCCAGTTTATAGATATGTTAGCCGTAGCAGAAACATAAATAGAAGCTTGGAGCTACCAGAAGGTGGTTGAGAACTCCACTAGCGTCACGACCACCCCAGACTAGCGTTAGTTCAGGCCATACTCTACTCTTCAAGAATAAATCGGGCATTTGGAGAGTATTTCTGCTACACTACTATAATCGTAATCTCGTAATCTGCATCACGTACTTTGCTTGCGTTATCGCCGCGGACCTTACACTTCCTTGCCGCAAAAGGCGTGACATAGCTTACTCATATGTCACATAGCATGAAATGGCATTCTTGCTATGTCACGCTGTGTAACATGAGTATGCTATGGGGCATCAGGGTGGCGTAGCAATCTTTATAAGAAAGTGGCGAGAGCCGGGCTTTCGAGATAGGAAGCACAAGCAAGCTAGATGACCATTATAGTTGTGTGGCAGACATGCTCATGAATTGCTCTACTTTATTAGAATGTATAACTCATAAGGACACCGTTTGCAGGGGTTGGCTTTGGTGCAACACCGGCAGCAGGGAGCACACCTGCAGCCAGTGGGTTCAACATGACGTTCGGACAGCCTGCGACTACAGCCACACCTGGCACGGGGCTAACATTTGGCCAACCTGCTGCGCCCGCCGGCACAGGTTTCACTTTCAACCAACCGGGCAGCGACAGTGTTTGGTCAGCCGGCCACAACGACTACCGCATTTACATTTGGCCAACCAGCAGCCGCTCCCACTGCGGCAACGAGCTTTGGATTTGGCCAGCCAGCGGCTACGACAACTACGGCATTTTCATTTGGCCAGCCGGTTGCCGGTCAACAGGTGACAACGAGCGGTTTCACATTTGGCCAGCCGACCACTGCCAACACCGCCTTCTCCTTCGGCCAGCCAACAGCAACAGGTACTGGGTTTGGATTCGGCGCTCAACCAAGCACAGCAGCACCGACGTTTAATTTTGGCGGCACCACAACGACTACAACAGCTCCAACATTCTCATTTGGGGCTGCGACAACAACGGCTGGTAGCACTGGCTTTCAGTTTGGAGGTGAGACAGGCCCACTCATTAAATAGGGGTGGTTTGTGGGTTGAAGCTTGCAAATGACTGTTCTAAATGTATCCTTCCCTTGAAATGGATAATGTCGCAACTAATTCTAAGACATTAGTTTAAATTCCAATCACAGTGACCATGTTTTGATAGGGGCAAATTACATATATGCAGATTCGCTTTGATTAAAGTGCACACTTAAAAACACCATACTGTGAACGTTATCAGGAATTCTTTAATACAGCATGCCTTAATCATATCTCAGTTCTGACACACAAAACCCCTAGAATTCAACTTCTTTTATATATCATGTTGTTTGAAAGCGAAATTCAGGCCAATATATCCATAAGCAACTCAGAGCAAATGCTTGCATGGCAAATTATGCCATTTAGTTAAAAAGCAGGTGCAAAAGTAAGAATTGCCATATCCCCTACTGTTCAGTTCGATATGCAGCAGTTCAAATTCTGCACATTGCTAATCTATTTTTACAAAACTGGTGAGTTTATTTTTCTTCTAAGGTGTCACTTGCTGCTTTAGTTTGACTTGCGGAAATTCGCCTCGGTTCTATGTTATGTGCTGTTATGTAGGAGATGTCAATGAAGGTTGGTGCCTGATTGTGTCTTCCTGTTATGGATATGGGCAAGCAGCAGACTAGATAAATATTGCTGAGCTTGTACGTCCATCATAGTGTAACGAAAGAGAAAAGATTCAATTATGTGTGTGCCTAGGGATGCAATAACTGCACGCTGCACTTACAGAGTCAGCCACTCTTACATGAAACACCTCATTATTATTCAGGAGCTGATAGCAGCTAGTGTGCAGTATAGGATTCGGTAAACTGTTCCATCATTTATTGACATAATTAGCCATCTTATAAGCACTTCCACATGTAGTAAAAGGAATGTCTGTTTATATATTTGGTTTTAAGTGCATGGTGATTGACATAGAATGGAAAAACTATAGGGTCACTGGACTATACCTCTAGCACTGCAATTCCGCATTCGTCACTAGTAACTGAATTTTAGGCGAAATGCCCATTTTGTTCATAATGTTACCATAGCTCCACTTCGACATGTGTTTTTATAGTACCTCTAAACTGCCTATTTTTCGACATTTGTGCCTAAACCGATAAGTGCCTATAAATGCTTATCTTCAAAATTAGTGCCAATATGAACACTATTTAATTCTAAATTTCACTTTCGAGTGCAGTTTGAGGCCATTGCTCATTTTAGGAGGGGACATTGAATGTTCTAAAATTGATGGAGTTCAACCTAGCCCTCTAGTTCAATTGACTTCCAGAAAACTGATAGAATAGTGAAATATTGTGCACAGGCCACCACAATCACATGGCACGAGCGATTGGCGAATGCAAAGCCGTTAAGAGTCGTCAGGTGCAGTGAGTTAAGAGCAAAAGAAGGAAAGTTATGATGTGCGAGCGGCATTTCTTTTGCTTGTAATTTACTTTTTAAGTGTTCATCAAGAGGGGAGGAGTTGACCCTGTGCGATTAGGCCCTGCCAATAGGAGGCATTCCTCATTTCTGGTCTTCTAGTGGTTGGGCTGTCTCCTCCTTTGCAGTGCTGCCCTTCTTGGCCGTGCTGAAAAGAAATATACCCAGGAGTTTGTTGATTCAACTCTGTACACTTCACTCGTCATGCCATAGAATAAAAAAAAAATTGACAGATACCACGTATCTTGGAAATTGACGTTATGCGAAGCATGCAGAGGGAAGGTGACAGTGTTGTAATTTTTTTATTGAACGATGCTTCATGAAATAACATTAAAAAATATTATTGACATCTTCTCAAAGGGAACCCTGATGGGATGCGAAGCAGCAGCATTGCGCACGGCGATTCGGGGGAAAGCGCATGCCGCTTTCAAGAAGTTACTGATGAGGACATCGAAGATTTGCTGGGGTTGGCCTTCCGCTTGGCCTCCTTGGCTCGCGTCTCCTCGGTTTTGTCGTTGTGCTGAAGACGCTTGCGCTCGACTTCTTTGGCTCGCGTCTCATCGGTGTTACCTGCGCGTCGTCTCCATTCTCGAACCCGATCGGTATGCTAGACTCGCACCTCGTTGGTGTCTTTGGTATTCCACTGCGACACATGCGTTTGGCTTCCATGGCTCACACCTCATTGGTGTTGCAGGCGCGACGTCGCTATTCGCAAACGCGATCGGCTCTGCTAATCTGCGCAACGCCGGCGACGGCCAGGTTAGGCCAATTCGCCTTGGCACGTGCTTTGGCAGGTGAAAGAGCCTCACTTTCCGGCATCCTCTCCATTGCAGATAAACGAGCCAAAAGTGTTCACTCGATGCGGGCTCAAACGTTGCGAGCGGTAGAAAAGGGTGAAGCGAGAGAGAGGTGACATGCGGTGAGCACGCGGCAGGCGAGGGGAGGCGGGACCTACTTGGCACCGCCACAACACCTGCAGTGAGGGCAGCGCGTTGGCATGGAGACACGGACTGACAGCATAACACAGGCTAGTCAAGGAACTGCTTTGCATCTAATATACTATGTATAAATGTTTCGTGCACAGACATTTGTTCAAGAGTTGCAAATGTTTTTATGAACCAATTCTTTGCACTTGCACAACTATGCCAACAGGACCATGAGTATTAACAATACCAGAAGCGATAAGCTGATATGAAGCGCTGGGGCTTGTGAGGATGGTAGCCCTGGACACTGTTACATAAATCAACTTCAGTGCATGGCACCTAACTACAATTTGACATTAACCTGACGTGACCACTGTATCATAGAAGTACATATGTAATGTTTATGAAATTGGATAGCCAGCACTGCAACCACAATTGACGTTTCACAAACATTAGAGTCAATTTGAAAAGTAGATCTGACACTTGGTGTGGCTCTAAGGTAGAATGCTTGGTTCGATTTCTGCTGGGATCCTGACATTTATTTTTTGCATTCATCCGGTCAACGCTGCCGATGTCAGGTTTCTCTTAACACTCGCACGTTAAAATGACCCATGTGTGTTCTCGTCGTTCCTGGGTAGATAGTAAAAGTCAATCACCTGTGGCATATACCCACATACCAGTGGCACATACCCGCCTGCAGGTATGTGTTACTGTTTGGCAGAAAGTGTTTGATGACATAGGCGACGGGATTGTGACATTATTTATGTCTTGACCAGCACGTCGCAATCATCAAACCGTTTACTCTCCCATACTAATTTTGGTTCACGTCAAGTTAAGGAGGTGATCTCGAGAGCACCCAGACGTATGTGGCTAGATAGATAGATACGCAGATAGATGTCAAAAGGGCTTGCAGTACGCAAAGAAATGCTTCGCATTTAAAAGAGACTGTATTCTGTGAACTGTGCAACAAGAAGGACAACATGAAGGCATGGCTATGTGTACTGTTGGAGCCTCTGTGCAATCATAGGCAGTGAAAATTTTTTAATGCCAAGCATTTCTAAGCAAACTGAAGGCACTCTCTATCTGGCCACCTATGTCTGGGCACCTTCATGGTTGCCTCCTTAACTTGGTACTTACGGAAATTGGCATAGGAGGACATGAAAGTGGAACGGACATGACTGTCATGTCAATACAGGATCACTGTGACAGGCCTGCTACGTACATTGCAAAACCCTTTCCCATAGTCGTATGTGACACATACCCATTCTAGTGTTGCTCGACCCCTGAGGAATGGGCAAACCAAAGCGTGTATGACATACTCATCATCGCACTCGGCAGTGCACTTCGTTTTGATTTAACATATGTCTGTGCTTTATCGTGAGTGCTGATGTTACGTTGGACCATAAACCCACGACGTGTTTACTGAGCCCACGGCGTGTGCACCATCCCATTTACACAAACTTGTCGATCCACGCTGTTATGTTTGGCTCAAAGGCGAAATATGCAGCGTAGTCAGCTACTTGGTGACTGCTTCACATTAAATCGATTGTCACTATGCATGGGTTCTCCCAATATTTTGCCTCCTTGTCGTCAATATAAGTCACACACATCTCTGTTTTTAAATCATTTATATTCATCTGGAAATGAGTTCTGCCTACATTTGCAATTTCCGAGGCCTAGATTGTGTTTTGTTTGCCTGTTTCTGGGGCCTGAAACATTGTTCTGCATGCCTATTTTTATTGCCTAAAACGTGCTTTATTAGTGCTAAAAAATATGGCCTCTATTCACCATGCAGCAGTATTCGAAAAGAACAACACTATAACAATGTTGGAAGTTAGACCAGCTTCAATACTAATAAGGCGTTTCACTTAAATGTGGACAACACTGCAGAAGTCGATAAGTGCCCCTTATCATTTTGTGTGCTTGTGAACCACTGGACATTTTTATGATGAAAGAGGTTTAGTAGTCATGTGCATCAGACTCTCATAAATTTCACGTTGTCTTTTTCAGGGTTTGGTGCTAACACGACCACAACGCAAAGCAACCCCTTTGGAAGCACTTCGCTAGTTTCGACAGGATTCGGCACCAGTGCGGTTCCCTCGTTTGGCGGTGCTGCCCCTGCGGCCGGTACCACGGCGGCAGCTGCCAGCAACCTCACCAACTTGGCAACAGCATTGTCGCTGCCCACTGTGTTCAACGATGAGCGGGACAACATTTTGGCCAAGTGGAATCAGCTACAGGCATTCTGGGGCACCGGCAAGGGTTTCTTCTCTGCAACAGCACCTCCGGTGGTATTCACTACCGAGAACCCCTTCTGCCGATTCAAGGTGAGCAAGCTTTAAGTTTGTTAACAATTAGTGCAATAAGCAGTTTTATGGTAGGAATCTGCAACTTGAAGAACTTAACTGTAATCGAGGTTAAAAATGTGTAAATAAAAAAATCAATGTACTTGTGCTGTTAGAGTGGTAGCACGGCAGCAGCCACACCGACACAGCCGGAAGGGAAGCCATTGTCCATGAATTCGCATGACGCTGGAGTGCCAAAGAAAATGTACACTCAGCTCAACTGTTCACCACCAACACACGTAGTGCATTTTATTTACAAGAAACATTTGCAACGACCAAAGTGGGCCAAGACACTGTACTGCCACCCACACGTAGTGGGTCGACTGCAAGAGCAGCTCTACCATCTGAAGGAGAGAAAGAAGATTTGCGTGTCTCTTCTCGGCTCGAGAGCCAGCCACGACTGACGCATCGTCCTAGAGCTAGCTACCCGGTCGTTCAATACATCCCCCAGTACTTGTGACTCATCGTGACAAACTGGTGGAAGGTGCTGGGTAGTCTCACGGATGCTGCAAACCCCCCAAGGAAGCCGTAATACGAGTCCAGTGCCAGTCAATACTCCCGTGCATCGGATCAGCCGCCGAATCAGGGGATTGCCTCCGGAAGTCAACGATACTGCTCCCACCACGTCAACAAACATGACCAGCACTTCGGTACAAACCTTGCCAACAAGCACGGGAAGCACGTCGTCGAACCGATACACGTTGGAAAGCCCACGGGCACCGACGACGTTCCATGGTACGGAGAGCGAAGACGTTGAGGACTGGTTGGCGGACTTTGAGCGCATAGCCAACTTGAATCAGTGGGACGACGTGGCAAAACTGGGTCGTGTCTACTTCTATCTCGAAGACGGGGCTCGCACGTGGTATCAAAATCGAGAGGAGCAGCTGACGACGTGGCCCGAATTCTGTCGTAGACTTCTGCAGACATATGCCAGCGCCGACCGCCAAGAAAGAGCTGAACGAGCTATTCTTGCCCGCGTCCAGTCGCCAAACGAAACTGTGACCGCGTACGTCGAAGACATGACGCGTCTCTTCCGACGGGCAGATTCAAGAATGACGGAGGACAAGAAGTTGCGTCACTTGATGCGTGGTTTTAAGGACCAGCTTTTCGCCGGCCTCGTGCGAAGCTCTCCAAAGACGGTCGCGAAGTTCTTGTCTGAAGCCGTGACAATGGAAAAAAATGCTACAGCAGCGATCAAACCAATACGACAGGCAAGTCAGTGGCATGTCCACTGCGGACATTTTCGCCGCCGCTGGGACCAGCAATGACTCCTTACGTGAACTCATCCGTAATATCGTACGTGAAGAGTTGCAAAAGGCTGGTGTAACACCTCATCCTACAGTTAGCTCTATTGCAACTGTCATCAAAGATGAGCTGCACCAGGCCCTCCGGGACACCTTGCCTCCTGATACAGCTGCGTCAGCTCCTGCTGAATACCACCGTAAGACAACCTACGCGGAAGCCTTGAAACACCCTGCTGCATCACCGTCATTGTTCGTTCATCCTGTCCCTGCAGTTTCACTCGAGTCATCGCAGCACATACCATACTACGAAGGCACGTACACGCCACCGCCCCTGCCTTTTGTCCGTGGTGCTTCTGTTGCCCATCGTTCAGTGCAACCGGTCCAGTACATCGACGATCGGCACTCGTATCCTCGGAAGTCTGATGTCTGGCGCACACCCGATCACCGGCCTCTATGCTTTCACTGCGGAGAAGCTGATCACTTGTACCACCAGTGTCCTTATCGCCGTCTTGGGCTTCGCGGCTTTTCTGCGTACTCGCCGCCCCCCCCCCCCCGTTACGGCCAGAGACCACGCGACATCCAAAACTACCTCTCCCAGCAGCATGCACCACCGTCTGCCGGGCACCAATCGCGCTCGCCATCACCGAGGCGATTTTCATCAATGCCTCAGCGGTATTCTACCGCACGATCTCCCAGCCCCCGCCGGGAAAACTAGCCGAAGCGACCTCTGGGGGCGGGGTCGCTGAACGTCGAAGCGCTGAAGACCTCCTATTGACGCAGAACCGTACAGAAACTGGTCCGACATCACCTGCTGCTGCAAAGGATAGCCGGCTTTCACTCGACATAGCAGTAACAATTGATGGTTGTGTAGTTAATGCGTTAGTGGACACCGGCGCAGACTATTCCATACTGAGCGGGAAACTGACAACGCAGCTGAAAAAAGTAATCACGCCGTGGCATAACTCGCAGATTCGGACAGCTGGTGGCCATGTCGTAACTCCACTGGGCGCCTGCACAACTAGAGTACAGATTCAAGGGTACACATTCGTAGCAAGCTGCCTTGTTCTACGTGAATGCTCCCGTGACGTCATTCTGGGAATTGATTTTCTACAAGAAAATGGAGCTATCATTGAACTGCAAGAGCGCCGCGTCACGTTCTCAGCACAGCGAGCAATCAACGTGCAGGATGACGGAATGCGTGTTGACGTACTCCGTATTTCTGAACAGAGCGTGACGCTTCCTCCCCGAGCCAGTGTTCTAGTCGACGTAACGTGCTGTGGTTTGAGCGATGGCGATGTGGTGGCCGAGACAAATTTAGAACACCTCCTGCAGCAAGGCATATGTGTAGCGAGAAGTGTAATACACGTTCGCGACGGCCGATCTGAATTGCTCGTTACCAACTTTAGCAACGAGCATTGACACCTTTTTCGTAGCACTTCGATAGCATTTGCCCACGAAGTAGCAAACGTAACCAACTGTCTCACGTCAGAAATAGTGGATAACGCAGACACATCAATGAGCAACATTGACATCAATCCTGATCTGTTCACCGATAACCAGACTGCGCTGCGAGCGCTCTTGTTCGAGTACAGGTCTTGCTTCGCAAGTTGCTCAAAGATCCGCCAGACGTCCATCACTCTACACAGGATCATCACGTACGAGGACGCACGCCCAATAAACCAGCACCCCTACCGCGTGTCGGCTAAAGAACGTGAAGCGATACGTACGCAAGTTCGCGAGATGCTTGACGATGGCGTTATCGAACCATCCAACAGCCCGTGGTCATCTCCAGTCGTGCTTGTCAAAAAGAAGGACGGGTCGCTGCGCTTCTGTGTCGATTACCGAAAGCTTAACAACGTGACCAAAAAGGATGTGTACCCGCTACCGCGTATCGACGATTCGCTGGATAGACTTCGTCGTGCCCATTATTTCACTTCTCTCGATCTCAAAAGCGGGTACTGGCAAATCGAGGTAGATCAGCGAGACTGCGAAAAGACAGCCTTCGTGACTCCAGACGGCCTATACCAATTTCGAGTACTCCCTTTCGGCTTGTGTTCAGCGTCGGCAACTTTCCAGCGAATGATGGACACTGTCCTCACAGGGCTCAAGTGGCAGACTTGTCTTCTCTACCTTGATGATGTGGTGGTCTTCTCTGCCACGTTCGAGCAGCACCTACAGCGCCTGCGCAGCATGCTGGAGGCTGTCCGATCGGCGGACCTCACTCTAAAGCCACAGAAGTGCCACTTCGGCTATGAAGAACTGAAATTTCTTGGACATGTAGTTAGCACTGAAGGAGTCCGGCCCGATCCAGACAAGCTTGCCGCTGTTGCCGAATTACCAGCTCCTGTCGATAAGAAAGCCGTTCGGCGCTTCCTTGGTTTGTGCGCCTACTATCGCCGGTTCATTCATGGCTTTTCACAGATAGCAGAACCTCTGACTCGTCTCACAAGGGACGACACGCCGTTTGTCTGGGAAAATGAGCAACAAGCAGCTTTCGATGAACTGCGACTGCGCATGCAATCAGCACCCGTTCTCGCTCATTTCGACGATGATGCTGACACGGAGGTTCATACTGACGCTAGTAACGTTGGGCTTGGTGCAGTGCTCGTTCTTTATGGTCGTCCCTTCAAGGTAGTGACGGACCACCATGCCCTCTGCTGGTTGGCAAGCCTGCGCGACCCTTCAGGACGGCTAGCACGGTGGAGCTTGCGGCTGCAGGAATTTGACGTCACCATCGTCCATAAGTCTGGCCGTAAGCATGAAGACGCTGACACACTGTCACGCGCACCCCTTCATGTCGTCAGTCAGGAAGCAGAGGAAGACGAAGGCTTCCTGGGCACCATAGCTCATCAGACTTGAGTAAACTGCAGCGGGATGACGCAGAGATTCGTCCGATCATTGATCATTTAGAGGGCCAGGGCACAATCATACCACGTCATTTATCCCGCTCGTTGCCGTCGTTCTGCCTTCGAGATGGTGTGCTGTACAAGAAGAACGCTCGTTCGAACAACCGTACCTACCTCCTGGTGGTTCCTCGAGACATGCGAGACGACGTCCTCTTCGCTTGCCATGACGAACCCACATCCGGTCATCTGGGCTACTCACGGACACTTGCCAGAGTGAGCGAGAGGTACTATTGGCCAGGACTTTCGGCAAGCGTCAAGAAGTACATCAAGAGCTGTCGAGAATGTCAGCGCCGAAAGCAACCATCTGTTAAGCCAGCTGGTTTGCTTCAGCCCATTGAAGCACCCTGCACGCCATTCGACCAAGTCGGCATGGACATTCTCGGGCCATTCCCCCTATCTGCGGACAGCAACAAATGGGTGATCGTCGCGACCGACTATTTGACACACTACGCTGAGACGCAGGCGATCCCACGAGCCACGGCTTCTGAGGTAGCACAGTTTTTTATACGCCACATCGTGTTACGACACGGTGCTCCTTCCAGTGTAATAACGGACAGAGGGACGGCATTCACGGCGCAGCTTATGGACGAGGTTTTCAAACTGAGCAACACCAGACACCGGAAGACAACTGCGTACCACCCGCAAACCAACGGACTTACCGAGCGACTGAATAAGACTATCGCAGACATGATCTCAATGTACATCGACGTACAGCACAAAACATGGGACCGGATCTTACCTTACGTGACCTTCGCGTATAATACCGCCGTGCAAGAGACCACGCGATTCACGCCATTTCGACTTCTCTACGGCCGCGAAGTGCAGACCATGC